CTCGGAGCCACCCCACCCCCCGCCGTGGGGTGCCTGGTACCCAGCAGGTGTGTCTCCAGGTGTGGGCTCCGCCCGGTCCCCATCCCTTGGCATCGGGTCCTTACTCCCGCCTCCAAAGCCGCGCTCAGGGAGCTGTTCTGCCTGCTCCTCCCCTGGGACGGCGGTTACCATGGCGGGAGCGGCGGGGGGGGGCGGGGGGGGGGGGGGGGGGGGGTAGGACCTCGTTAGAGGAGTCAGTCTCGATCCTCGCTGGAGCTCAGGAAGTTCCGCGGAGCATCAAGATGCCATACACCCAAGACACCAACATCATCGAGGTCTGCTGTCTGCTTGAACCTTGTCATTTCCGCTCGGGCCCATTTTACCAGATTTATTACAGTTCCTACCCAATGGGTTTCTTTCTAGTTCTGAGAGTCATCATGTATAATCTTAATTCTTTTTAAGGACTTTAAGGTTGGAAGTCTACTTGGTAAAGGATCATTTGCTGGTGTCTACAGAGCAGAGTCCATTCATACCGGTTTGGAAGTTGCAATCAAAATGGTAAGAATGTATTAGTGACCCTCTCATCAGTATTTTGCAAGGGACTAGAGAGGCATGCTATTTAAAATGTCACAGCCTTTATCTACTAGAAGCTGTACACACTGTCCCCCTACTCTGTGTGTGTGTGTGTGTGTGTGTCTGTGTGTGCATAGCCAAAAGAGAGTGTTGCTAAGTGCACCAGCTGATCTTAACCTTGCTTAAGTGAAGGTTTTATACTTTATTCATGTTCCAGAGACTAGTACATTTTGTTACTGTGAATACCTAAGGTAACTGGAAGAAGTCAGAACAATTTATGTGTGTCCATAATAATCCAAACTACCATTATTGTCGAGCACGGTGGTGCATGCCTGTAATCACAGCTCTAAGGAGTTGGGAAAATGAAGATCCGAAATCCAAAGCCAACTTCTATTATAACATAAACACATTGGACATACAGAAAATTCATTCTTCTAGTTACAAGGGTGGAACATAAAGAAGAGTAAGTTGACTTCAAAGACATAAAAAGGCTTCAGACAATTTTAGATTGATGTTTGGGCTTTTGTGTGGGCTTAGGGGTATAGCGTGTTGTTAGAGTGCTTTCCTCTAGCATGCATAAGGCCCTGGGTTCAAATAAATCTGGCCTCTTATTTTTAGATAGATAAGAAAGCCATGTACAAAGCTGGAATGGTACAGAGAGTCCAAAATGAGGTGAAAATACATTGCCAGTTGAAGCACCCTTCTATTTTGGAGGTAAGATACAAGGTGTATAGAAGTAGTTAAGAAAGCTGGATGTTTGTGTAATTGACTGCACCCTTTTCTGTTTTAGCTTTATAATTACTTTGAAGATAACAATTACGTGTACCTGGTATTAGAAATGTGCCATAATGGAGAAATAAACAGGTATCTAAAGAACCGAATGAAACCTTTCTCAGAAAGTGAAGGTAGGTGTCTTTTGGGGGGGTGGGAGGTAGTTTTTCTCTCTCTCTCTTTTTTTTTTTTTTTCCTGTTGGTTTTTGAAGGTGTTGTTTTGGAAATATGCTCCTCTTTACTATTTAGTAAAACATTTGTTTTGTGTTTTTGAGACAAGGTCTCTCTACTATGTAGCTCTTGCTGTCCTGGAACTCAGTATATAGACCAGGCTGATCTTGAACTGACAGACTCCTGTCTTTGCCTCCCAAGTGTTGGGATTAAAGGTATATGCCACTACACCCAGCTTGTGTATGTGTGTTTGTATTTTTATTTTAAATGTATGGGTCTTACCTGCATGTGTATCTGTGTACCACATGTCTGTCTGGTGCCCAGAGTGCAGAAAAAGGCTTTGTATCCTCTGGAACTTGATTGTGAGACATCTTTTGGGTGTTGGGAATCCAGGTCCCCTGGAAGATCAGCCAAGACTCTTAAACACTGAGCAGTCCTTTCCGATTCAGCGTTTGTTTTGTTTTGATTTTTAAAGCCATGTGTATGAGTGTGCAATTGTATGTGCGTGTAGTGCATGCAAGTAGGTGCCCATGCCCAAGGAGGGTTAACATGGATGCTGGGAATAGAACTTGACTCCTGTAAGAGCAGTATGCACTTTAACAGCTGAGCCATCTCTCCAGCCACAGATAAAACTATTTCAATTGTTATTTTATTCAATTGTGTCTCCACAAAAGCTAAATCCCATATCACAGAAGTAGAGAGGGGAATTTGTTAGCCTTCTGTTCTCCAAAACACATTTTCAATTAAATCATTGGTAACAATTTACTGTAAATCCTTTCAAACCTAGAAAACTACTTATAATGTGTTTGATGACTAAAGTTTCCAAATAAACACTGAGAACACCATGCTGGAACTCCTTTAGCTTATTGTTCATCTTTTAAAAGCTTGGAGTGGTTCAGACTCCCCAGGTAATATATCTTGGCAAAGCTTTTCCAAATATCTTTCTGTGAAATACAAAATGAATTTCAACTCATTCCCCCCATCTTTTCAAATCAGATATGGTCCATATATTGTCAAACTACTGATTTTTTTTCCCCCGCCAAGCCATGATTGATTTTGATATTGCAGATAGAGCTAAGGAAGAAGGCTGCTGATAGGTTTTTGTTTTAAGTATTTATGTGTTATGTTATATGTTATCATTTGTGTGTTATGGTCAGACATCAACTCTGGGGAGTTGGTTCTCTCCTTGTATCATGTGGATTCCAGATACAAAACTCAGTTCATCAAACTTGGTTGCAAGCAGCTTTATCTGCTGAACCATGTCACAGTGGCCTGAGAGAGCTTTTATACATTTAAATGTCTTTGAAATAGTTGTTAACATGCGCTTAATTGTAGAAATGTTGATAAGCTTTCTCTAAATTTCATTGATAAATGTTTATTCTGGGGGCTAGAGAGATGGCTCAGTGGTTAAGAGCACTGACTGCTCTTCCAGAGGACACTAGCTCAATATCTAGAATCCACATGGCAGCTCACAACGGTCTGTAGTTCCAGTTCCAGGGGCCCCTATACCCATGTTAAAACACCAATGCACATAAAATAATATAAATTTTAAAAAAGTTATTCTGAGGAAATAATACAAATGGCAGGGGGATCCATATACATGGATGGTAATTTCTGTGTTGCAAGTTTTTTTGTAAAGGCTTTATTACATAAGACAAAACTTATAAAGAAAAAAATTGTTAGTTTGAATTAAACTTAAAAACTTACATGCAGCCAAAGATGTATCTCCCTCCCAGCAACAAAGTTTTAAGACAAAGGTGGAAAGAAAATACCTGCAAAATATATGACTGCTAGGGTTGAGGCTGTAATTTAGTGGTAGCAAGTTTATTCAACGTGCATGCACAGGGCCCTAGGTTCCTTGTTTTCTACTGACAAATTTGTATGTGCTCAGTGTGTATAACTAAAAAATTCGCGTTGAAAAATTAACTGTGCACCCAAAAGGGAAAGGATAATCAAATAAGAAACTAGAGGGTATAGAGAATAGTCACAGAAGAGAAAGCTCAAATAACCAATAAACATGAAAAAAATACAGGCTCAATAGTAGTCATGAAGGTGCTAACCAAAACAATGAAGGACCATTTTTACATACTGAATTGAGACTATTTGATGTTAACAGGGAATATATGAAAATACAGCCTTTTAAAAAGGCTAACTTGCCAAAGCATGAAACTGACAATTTTCATATCTCTAAATCTATATATAGAATAAATATACCTTATGCAGAAAAACTCATTTAACATATACACAAAAAGTAAGCATGCACAAGAATGTTTATTCCTATATTATTTGTAATTTTGAAATATCAAAAATTATACAAATGTTAAACAGCAATTAAGTAAAATAAAGATCTAGTACATTAGAGAAATAACTTTAAGATGTACACTGAAGAAAATAATGAAACTATTTTTATACTATTTGTTTTATATTTAAAAGCATTTATTATAATGTGTATGCAGCTTTAAATATATATAAGCATCCAGGAAAGCATTAAGAAATATATTAAATGTTTACAGTGGAGGCTGTGTGTAAAGTTCTTGCCATGCAAGTGTGAGAACTGGGGTTTGGTTCCCAGCACCCATGTAAATGCTTGGATAGGTGTGGCAGCCTGCTTATCATATTGGCACTCAGGAACTAAAAATAAGATTTGCCCTAGCATCTGATATATTTATGAATTATTTATACAATTTTCAAAGCTTTTCTTTAAGATTTATTTTTTCATGTATTTTACGTATATGAGTATTCTGTCTTCATGCACACCAGAAGGAAGAATCTGATCCCATCACAGATGGTTGTGAGCCACCATGTGGTTGCTGGAAATTGAACTCAGGACCTTTGGAAGAGCAGTCAGATGTTCTTCACCACTGAGCCATTTCCCCAGCCCCTAAATAATTTTCTTAATTTTTATGGATATCTGGTTACCCTAGTTACCCTACACACTTTGAACTGATACAAAATTTGGCTTCCCTTAGCGTATAAGTTGAAAAAAGCAAAGATTAGAACGAGTGCCTAGTTAGATTGATGTTTTAGTTGGTTGGTCTAAGCTAGGTTTTATAGTGTATTCTAAACACTGGATTTTCTGTAACTTTTGAATTGTTAAGTTCTGTTTTTTTCCATCTTCACAGCTAGGCAATTCATGCATCAGATCATCACAGGAATGTTGTATCTTCATTCTCATGGCATATTACACCGGGACCTCACACTCTCTAACATCTTGCTTACACGTAATATGAACATAAAAATTGCTGACTTTGGACTGGCAACACAATTGAAAATGCCTCATGAAAAGCATTACACACTCTGTGGAACTCCTAATTATATTTCACCAGAAATTGCAACTCGAAGTGCACATGGACTTGAATCTGATATTTGGTCATTGGGCTGTATGTTTTATACATTACTTATTGGAAGACCCCCTTTTGACACTGATACAGTCAAGAACACATTGAATAAAGTAGTATTGGCAGATTATGAAATGCCAACCTTTTTGTCACGAGAGGCCCAGGACCTTATACACCAGTTGCTTCGTAGAAATCCTGCAGATCGGTTAAGTCTGTCTTCTGTGTTGGACCATCCTTTTATGTCACGAAATCATTCAACAAAAAGTAAAGACTTGGGGACTGTAGAGGATTCGATGGATAGTGGGCATGCCACAATTTCCACAACAATTACAGCTTCTTCCAGTACCAGTTTGAGTGGTAGCTTACCTGACAGAAGAAGACTTTTGATTGGTCAGTCACTTCCAAATAAAATTACTGTATTTCCAAAAAATAAGAATTTAAGTGACTTTTCTTCAGGAGATGGAAGCAATTTTTGTACACACTGGGGAAACCCAGACCAAGAAGCTAATAATAGGGGGCGGGGAAGATTAATTGAAGATGCAGAAGAAAGGCCGCATTCTCGATACCTTCGAAGAGCTCATTCCTCTGATAGATCCAGCACTTCTAATCAGTCTCGAGCAAAAACACACTCAATAGAACGTTGTCATTCAGTAGAAATGCTTTCAAAGCCCAGAAGATCCCTGGATGAAAATGAAAAGAGGTATTTACCCACAAACAGCAATATCAATTTTTAACTTCTTTAAAGACAAAGCAGCCAATAGTTGTAGATCTTTTCAAAGCTTTGATGATGACCAAGCAGTGTAAGGATAATTCTTTCAAAGGCATTTTGATAAACATTGTATTAGCACAGATACAAAGCTGCATCCAAACAAAGTGGAGTTATAAAATAGAATAGAATTAGAATTACAATTTAAGCCAGGCATGGTGATACATGTCTTTATTCCTAGAACATGGGAGGGAGGCACTGGCAGAAGGATCATGCAGCTGAATCCAGTCTGTGTGACACCAAGTTCTAGGCTTGTCTTTTTTTTTTCAAACCAAAAAGGCTTTTATGTTATTAATGTCAGTTAAGGTCTCTTAAAAGTGCATATAGGCTGGTGAGATAGCGCTCATTGGGAGAAATAGTGGCTTAACATATATAGTATTCTCATGTCAGTCCTGAGCACTCTAAATAAAAAGTGAATATGTTCATAACTGTGTTTAAATTTTTAGATGTATTTGGAGTAGATCTCTAGCACAACATACCGTTTATTGTGCAAATCTGATCCCTAAAGGACTAATAGAAACTACATGTAGAGGGAAGCTGAAGCTGAATGAGGAATAGCTGTGATACTGACTGTTTCTGATATGAGCACTAATTTTAGTGTTTAATTTGGTTCTTGTATGTGATTTTTTAATGTTTGAATTATAAATTTCTAAAAGGATAGTAGACATATAGAGGTGCCATTATAGTGCCATGGCATTTTGTCATAGTTTTAGAGACAACTGTTTTCTGCAGTTATTTTAAAATTTCAGGTATTTAAATTTCTTCTAGGGTTTCTGCTTTAAAATGTTTAGGGACTGGGAATTCTGCTGTCATAGAAGCATATTCATTGTGTACATATGTATATACCTCTAAGTTCTGTCTCCAATCCATCCTTCCCCAATAATTGCTTTATGGGATTTTTTTCCCCCCTTTTTAGTTCCAATCACCATTGTCTAGGAGAAACTCCTTTTCCATTTGCAGACCAGACGCCTCAGATGGAAATGGTACAACAGTGGTTTGGGAATCTGCAAATGAATGGTAAGTTTTTAATGGAGCATTTAATTAAAATTTAATGACCTGGAACCTGCCAAACACTGCAGTTTTCTGCTTATAGGTAAGAAAACAGTTCCAATAAAACATACTCTATTATTAACGTTTTGGAATATTTAAGCTACTTTCCTTAATATTCATTGTTATGATTAGTTTAGGTTTACATTACAAATATGAGGAAAAAAGCTATTTATGCATGAGCAAACAGAACACAACTCAGTTTGCACTGCCTCTGTGTGATTAACAAGGATTCTAGGGTAGTCTTGGCTCAGGCTGTACCTTGAAGCCTGTTCTGGTTGATGGCCTGTGTTAAAAACTGCTGTTATCAATGCCAATGAAGTAATCAAAGGATGCCTGACTTTACTTTTGAGAAGCTGATGTGAGAATTTTAGTTTGCCAGTAGTTTCTCATACTGAAATACACAGCTACTGAAACCCAAACATTTAAGCAGCTGTCCCCAGGTCATTATTAAGAATGTGGAGATTAAGTGTCCCCCATTAATGAACAACACTCACAGAAGGTGGGTGGAAAATAGTGGTGGGAAAAGAGAATTAAAAGGCAGCATCTGGAGGAGATCGTCTTTCACCATTGTGTCGTGTGGAGTGTGAGATAATAGCTCTCATTAGGCAGAGTTGTTATGCCCTGTCAAGAGGAGTCTTTTCCTTCTCAAGAAATATGTATGATTTTCAGAAGTCTAAAGAGAATCAGTCTGACCATATATACATACTAGATTTTTATTTTTTTTATTATTTATTTATTTATTTATTTATTTGTTTTGGTTTCTTGAGACAGGGTTTCCCTGTGGCTTTGAAGGCTGTCCTGGCTCTTGTAGCCCAGGCTGGTCTCCAACTCACAGAGCTCTGCCTGCCTCTACCGAGTGCTGGGACTAAAGGCATGCACTACCACCGCCCAGCTACTAGTTTGTTTTTTTTTTAAACTACAAAACTGCCCTGTACATTAGTCTTGCAGTCTTGTACTTATTTACAGGTTATTTTTAGTAATATGAGCTATTCTGAGATGGAGAAATAACCTCTATAAATATAGTCATTCTGCTCCAATTTTAAAGTATTTTACTTGATAGAAAATATTTTCCCTTATATTGAAAATGTGAGGACAAGAAGCTTTACAAAAATCATTTAAGATAAACTTGTGTTGAAAATTCAGAGAGTTTAATACTAAAAAACTAGAGTTCTATATAATTGATCATTTAAGGCCTTTAAAAAAATAGCATTAGGACATGGTGGCCTATTCCTTTAATTACACAATTTGGTAGGCTGAGGCATAGGAACCATGACTTCAAGACTAGTTAGGCTACATAAGTGAGACCCTGTCTCAAAAAAAAAAAAAAGAAAGAAAGAAAGAAAGAAGATAATTAAATTAATTTATCACAGAGAGTTTTATGTAATTAAATTATTTTAAGGCACTTTTAGAAACATGAACTCTAAGGGCTAGAGAGATGGCTCAGTGGTTAAAAACACTTGCTGCTCTTCCCAGAAGATCCAAGTTCAGTTCCCAGTACCCACAGCAGGTGTCTCACAGCCACTTGTAACTGCAGTTCCAGGAGATCTGATAGTCAGGCACTGCATGTACGTAGTGCGCATATATACAGAAAAGTACACACGCACATGCATAAACAAAATTTTTTAAAAGTAAACTCTGAAACCATGTGAAATATGAATATATAGAATTCTATAAGAGCTTTTAAATATACAGGTAAAGATACATTTGTAATAGGGATACTGAAGGTAGTGTTTCGCTTTTTAGTTGCACATTTTCTAAGTAGAGATTGATAAACCATCCTTATATTAAAAAAATTTATTTTTTTTCTTCTATAGACTGGGAATTCTCATTGACTTGTTTTAGAATGAGTAACTTGGTTTTGCTTTGATTGAAAAATTGATTTCTCCAGGCAGTGGTGGTACACACCTTTAATCCCAGAACTCAGGAGACAGAAGCAGGAAGATCTCTGAAGTTAAGCACAGCCAGGGCTACACAGAGAAACCCTGTCGAGAGAGAGGGAGGGGGGAGAAATTGATTTCATTTTAGTACATTTTCATAGCTGAAAGTTTTCCTTCAACCTGGCTTTAAATGTTCCTTTAATTTTTGTCCTTTTTTATTAAGAGCTCATTTTCTTAATAGCTTCTTCTTTTAAAAGAAACTATATATTTAAGATATATAATTATGTTATAAATAGTAAAATAGTTATGGTGGAAGAAATTAGCATATCTGTCATTTCAGTGTAATTACACATTTCCCCCTTTAGCAAAGAAAAACAGCTACAATTTACTGATTTAAAGAGAGTTCTAAGTATAATGCACAAGTGTTTATAATTGACTTTTCTATTGTTTAAAAAGTGCTGTTTATCAGTGTGTGGTGTAGCATGCCTTTAATCCTAGCACATGGGAGGCCAAAGCAAACCCATCTATTGAGTTCAAGAAAGACATAGAAAGACCCTGTCTTCAAACCAGGATCCCCTCCCCTCACAAAAAAAGTTACCATAATCAGCACATTATGCTACATTTTACTAAACTGCTTTTTAAATGTATATTTTAGCTCATTTGGGAGAAACTAATGAGCACAAAACCGATAACCCAAGCAGAGATTTCCAGGGCTATCCAGATTCACGGGACATGTTAAGAAATGCTTGGACTGATACAAGAGCCACCAAGAATGCTGATAATTCTGCTAATGTTCATCCTGTAAACCAGCTGAGTACGACAAAGTTTACTATGACTGCACATCATAGTAAACCTGAGATTATTCAACAAGAGCTGGCCTTCCATCCTCATTCTGAACAAAGCAAGAAGAGGAGTATGGAGTCAACACTGGGTCACCAGAAACCTTCCTTACGAAGCATTACATCTCCTTTGATTGCTCACAGATTAAAACCAATCAGACAGAAAACCAAAAAGGCTGTGGTATGTCAGTTATTTTTTCTAATTGCCTATTTGATGTTTTCCTTGGATACAATTCTTAAGTATGATCTGTTTTTTGTTTTCTATGGTATCTTTGGAATTTGAGATATTATACAAACTTAACATTTGAGGAAAATTTGAGTATTCATGGGAAAATAGCATTTGCTTCCCTCTGGTTTAGATAGGTAACATTTGGGTTTTGTTTTATGTGTTTTAAGAGTTTCCAGTAGGTAATCCAGGCTGGTTTTGGATTCTCTCCTTCTGCCTCAGCCTCATGTGTGCTGTGATTGCACCCTGGTGCCCTCTAGCTTTTGAAATTGGCAAGTTGATTCTGATAGGTTTTTAACTTTTTCCTTAGTGATTTTTTAAAATATATTTATTCTGATTTAATGTTTTGAGTATTTTACCTACATGTATGTATGGGCATTACATGCTTGCCTGGTGCCCAGGGAAACCAGAAAAGGGCATTAAGTTCCTTGGCATTGGAGTTACAGTCAGTTATGAGCAAACATGTGGATTCTGGGAAATGAACTGCAAGAGTAACAGGTGCTCTTAATCACTGAACTACCTCTCCAGTCCGTAAATTATATTTAAAAGACGGTTAAATGAAAATATTTAAAATAATATTGGCTACATGCTATGTTAAATACTTTATTTACATCTCCAGCTGGTGATTTTTCTATGTTTAATTTCATTTCAAATCAAGAGTAAGTTAGAAAATACAACTTTTAAAAAAGAACTGAAAGTAATATGCATTTCTGAGTTAAAATTCAATGAGCATATGTGAAGATGAAATAATTTCTTTGTGATTCCATCTTGATCCTGTTTGTTCTTTGTTTCCCATGTCAACCAGTCTTGCCTTTGTTTGGCCCCCAATTGTTTTCAGAGTCCTTGTCTCCACCCTACCTTCTGCTTGCTTTTTGCTCATTGGTTAGCATTTCACACTTAATTACACATTCTCACCTTTATACCTTCTGGCTCACAACTGTACGCAAGTACAATCTCTGTTCTAGACTACCAACGTGACGCAGCAGTTGGATTTTGTTATTTCTGCTATGGTTGGGTACTTTTCCCTCCTAAGTATTACGTGCCAGAAGTGTTCTTAAAAAAACAATTTATTAATTTTTCTGTTTCTCTAGGTGAGCATCCTAGATTCAGAGGAAGTATGTGTGGAGCTTCTAAAAGAATGTACATCTGAAGGACATGTGAAGGAAGTTCTTCAGATATCTAGTGACGGGACTATGGTAGTGTACCAGTTTTATTCATTTGCAATTTTTGGTGTGACTAAACATTCCGAATTGAGTTCCTTTTGCAATATGGTATTTAACCTGTATCTTTGGAATTCACAAACTGAAAAATAATAATAATTATTATAACTAGTAATAAAACTAAAATTTTATGTTAGAATACTTTATTATTTTTAGAAACTATTTTAATATTTTTCTAAATTAATGTTTAACATAGAACCTTGTATACTTTTTGGTAACAAAGGATAATACTTAATGGCATATAAGTTTTATTTATTTATTTTTTTAATCAGATCACTGTTTATTACCCAAATGATGGAAGAGGCTTTCCTCTTGCTGATAAACCACCCTTGCCTACAGACAACATCAGTAGATACAGCTTTGACAATTTACCAGGTATGTACATTTCCATGAGTTGAATTGAGATAAAAGATTTATATAGACATAGATTTTGTATGTATTTTTGTGGCATTTTTGTGATAAGTTGTAACTACCTTTGCTTCAATCTGGTTACTGGTCATATTCATGTACTGGGAAGATCTGGTGTATCTTACTATTCCACTGTCTACTGTTTATATATGTTGCCACAAACCTGTTAAGTATTAGTAACATCAGAGCTATAGCCTGTGCTTTTGTTTAGTTATTGTTCTATGTAGAACCATGAAAAATTTCAACATGGAGTATCTAGTTTTTCACACTTGAAATCACTGCAGTAATATAGAAAAATAATTTATAATTGTTGGTAACTTACTGTGTCCTGCATAAGCCCCTAGAAGCTATGATTTGGAGAAACAACTACTGAATAGCTTGGTTGAGATAACTTTCAAAAACAAGAAAGCTGTCTAACTTTTCCAGGAATTAGAATGCAGATACAACTGTATGTTTAGTCGATTCTTTCTTCCTTAATGTTAGATATATTTTTCTTCTTTAGAAAAATACTGGCGGAAATATCAGTATGCTTCCAGATTTATTCAGCTCGTAAGGTCTAAAACTCCCAAAATCACTTATTTTACAAGATATGCTAAATGTATTTTGATGGAGAATTCTCCTGGTGCTGATTTCGAGGTTTGGTTTTATGATGGTGAGTATACTACATGTGATCCAGTTTTTTATGGCTGTGCCCCTGGCTTTTTATCTGTAATATATGAGATCTTGCCCTATTCTCTGCTTAGCCCTGCATCAGTTCATGGCATAAGCTGCATGAAAAACAATATCCATATCTTACTTGAAACCGAAATGGACAGGCTTAACAATCTCTGAGCATTCTCTGGAGTTGATTTGTCTTTAGCTGTCTCCCTTCATAAAAGGTTCCCATGTAGACATCGCAGCACATGGTTATAGCTATCCCTGGTATTCTGTATGAACTTTGAGCAATCCAATCAGACACATGCTGAGAAGGAAAAATGATGCCTTACATTTGTTGAATACTTGGAGTGCTGTTTTACAAATGATCAATAAACATGATGTAAATAACTTTTCTGACAGTCATGTATTAGTATGATAATGAATTAATTATAGGAATAGTAAAATAACTGAAAAAAGAATGGTTTTCTGCTAATTTTCAGGAGCCAAGATACACAAAACAGAAGATTTAATTCACATGATTGAAAAATCTGGTAAATCTTATACTTTAAAAAATGAAAGTGAAATTATGAGCTTGAAAGAGGAAATGAAAATATATATGGACCATGCTAATGAGGTAAGTACCTATATTTCATCCAGTTAACAGTCACATGGTAAAGCAGCGAACTGCTGACAGGAGGCATTCTTCTCTGTAATAGGGTCACCGTGTCTGCTTGGCACTGGAATCTGTAATCTCAGAAGAGGAAAAGAGAAGCAGGAGCTCTTCATTCTTCCCAATAATTATAGGAAGGTAAGAGCTTAACATTCCTAACTATGGCTAAAACGTTTAAGATACATTTTGGTCATTTCATTGTAAATGATGATAAGAATTGCACCATGGTGACACACTACATAATCCTGGCACCTACAAAGTAGGGGCGACCTACCTTAGAACAGCTACAAGGGCCAATGAGATGGTTCACTGGATAAAAGTGCTTGCCATGCAAGCTTAACAACCTAAGCTTGATCCCTGAAACCTATATAAAACTGCTGAGAGAACTTACTTCAAAGGTCATTCTTCGACCTGCAGACACACTCTGAGGCATACATGTACCCACATATCCACACCATTCACACAGACATACATAATGAATGAAATTAAAAAACTTAACCAGCCAGATGAGGTGGCACACACCTTTAATTTAGGCACTGGAGTGGCAGAGACAAGTGGATCTCTGAACTCAAGGCCAGCCTAGTCTACATAGTGGGACCCTTTGTCAAACACACACACACACACAAATTTTTAGTTCTCTGTATATTGAAAAGCTTTAGGGAACTATACTGGGTCATTTCTCTTCTTTCAGAAAACCTGGTAATACTAGTTCACCTAAAGCCTTATCACCACCTCCTGTGGACCTAAGCTACTCAAAGGGTGAGCAAGCATCAACGAGCAGATTGAGCATGAATAGTGCGGCATTTCCAACACAGGCACCACTACACAATCCTTCTGTAAGTAAATATGAATCACATGGTGAGTGCCTGATGCCCTTACATAAAGTGAAATTGTGGGTTGGAGGTACAGCTCAGTTGTAGACTACATGCTGAATATGTGTCCATAGGTTAGATCCCAGCACCATCCAGAAAAATAAAACACTTACTGTCTGGGCCTCCGAACTATTTTGCCATATGTCTGCTTTCATAAGACAAAAGTCATTGCACATGCTATCAGCTGCCTACGGCTCATGGTTTAGTAATTATATAAATGTACAAGTTTGTATATGCGTTGACACATGTGTACATTCTCTAACTTCAGCTATGAAAAATAATGGGAAAGAAATTTGCTAAAATGAAAACAAGTCATGATTTGGCCTTCCATTTCTTTTTTTTTATTTTGAATGTGTGGTTGATTTTAATTTTAGAATTTTTGCTTTGAGAAAATTCTGTTTTAAAATCATGAAGCATTCTCAGCTTTACTAAAGCTGGCTTTATGAATGTGCTAAGGAAGATCTTCCTCTCCCTTACTGTTTCTAGACTGCTACAGCTGAAGGACTTGGCCACACAGCCACTGCCACAGGAGCAAGTTTCTCTTCTTCGAGTCTTCCTAAATCAGCACAGCTTTTGAAATCTGTTTTTGTGAAAAATGTTGGTTGGGCTACACAGGTGAGACATTTCTGAAAAAGATAATTACTCACTGTGGATCTCTTGATTTTTTTTTTCATTAGTTAAACTATTACTCAATAATACAAATTATTTTAACAACTTCTGTTTTCTGGGGAGTTTTTTGTTTGTTTGTTTTGGCTTTTCGAGACAGGGTTTCTCTGTGTAGCTTTGGAGCTTATCCTGGCACTCGATCTAGAGACCAGGCTGGCCTCGAACTCACAGAGATCCGCCGGCCTCTGCCTCCCGAGTGCTGGGATTAAAGGTGTTCACTACCAACGCCCGACTTTCTGGGGAGTTTTTTAATATATTTTTTTGCATTGGTTATATTCCTAAAAGTTTTGCTTTTTAAAAATTGGTATATATCACAAAGCTGCTGATGTTGACATCAGGTTCCTACAATGTGAACCATGTCATAATAGGGGTTTGCAGAGTAGAGGATGATGTCTAGGACATTTGAAATGGCAGAAACAAAATAAGTGTTGAATTAAAATTTACAAAATTTATGTCAGTGTATATACCTTTACATTGTGTGTATTATCAGGAGATTTGAAGTACAGGAATTTTGGAGTATGGCACAGGTATTTTTACTTGACAATTAAGTAAAAATTCACTCTGGTAATTTCCTGGGGCTTGTTGACATTTGTTGAGTACTACTTCCTGTGTGGTCCTATGTTTCTCACATGCATTGTCCCCTAAAATAATCTGGTAAAACTTAAGCTAGTTGCTCTTTTAAAGACAGTAAGATTACAATTTTTTTTGGTAGATTGATTTGCGTAGTCTTGTAGTGTGTGGAACTGTGTAGTCTGGTGTAAATACAGGACTGTTTGAGTCAGTTGGCCATGTTGTTTCTCACCTATGCCACATATCTTTCCATTTGTAGTAGCACAAAGACAAGTTTCAGTAGCTAAGAGATAACACAAGGGAGCTTTTGTCATTTCTTCAATCCTATCTTGGGAAAAATACTATCTGAAAAAACAAACTACTTAAATAACCTAGTAGATATTTGTGAGAAGCCAAATTTATTGAGAGTCATTTTGATATTATGCTGCCTTGGCCAATAGAGAAATGATCTGAAGAGGAAAAAGAAAAAGAATATTTCCAATGCTAAGATTATTAAAACCCAAGTTTATACTTATTGAGACAGATGTTTTTAAAGCTGTATTGGGTCTGTGTGTGTTCGCACATGCATAGAATTCTGGTATTTAGGAGGTACAAGCAAGAGTGAAATCAATGCCTGTCTGGGCTGTATAGTACGTGAGACCCTGTCTTAAAAATAAAATGTGTCCTTTAATCCCAGCACTAGGGAGGCAGAGGCATGTGGAGCTCTGTGAGTTCAAGGCCAGCCTACTCTACAGAGTGAGTTCCAGGCCAGGCTCCAAAGCAATACAGAGAAACCCTGTCTCGAAAAGCCTGAAAGAAAAAGAAAATGAAATGTGGAGCTAGAGAGATGGCTCCATGATGAAGAGCACTTGCTGCTCTTGCAGAGGACCCAAGTTGTTTTCCTCCGTGGCAGCTCACAACTGTCTGTAACTCCAGTCCTAGGGAATCTGATGCCCTCTTCTGGCCTCTTCAGGTTCTGTGAGCAAGTTGTACAGAGACATAAAATGAAGGAAAAACATTCATAGACATGAAAAATAAAATAATTTAAGTATGATGTGTGCCTTTAATCCCACAACTCTTAAGGCAGAAGCAGGTAGATCTCTGAGTTCTCTGAGTTCAAGGCCAGCTAGTGCTATATACTGAGACTATTTCAAAAGGGGTGTGAGGGAGGGGGGACCAAACTACTAAATGAATGAGTAAGACAAAACTATATAGAACACTTTTTAAGCCCTTAAAAATTGCAAGTTGTGCTGGGTGGTGGTGGTGCTTGCCAGCACTCAGGAGGCAGAGGCAGGTGGATCTCTATGAGTTGAGGCCAGCCTAGTCTATAGAGCAAGTTTCAGGACAGCCAGAGCTACACAGAAAAACCCTATCTTGAAAACACCCTCCACCCTCACCCCCACCAAACAAACAAACAAACAAACCTCATTGTGTCTTCTTGTGTGTAGTCATTTTCTATGCTTCTTGTTTTTCTAGCTAACTAGTGGAGCTGTGTGGGTTCAGTTTAATGATGGTTCGCAGCTGGTTGTCCAAGCAGGGGTGTCTTCCGTTAGTTACACATCACCAGATGGTCAGACAACTAGGTAAGTTCTTAAAGCACTGGGTGGGTTTCAATGTTTACTCTCATTTTGCTTTCTCTGTACTTGGACATAAGTGGCTTGCTAAGCTTAGTATTTTGACAATTTGTATTTACACTGTTCATAATCAACTCAAGAGATAGGATTTCTTTTAATTTCATTGAATAACCTGTTCAGTGACCTAATTAGGTTGACTCTTTTCAGAATGGACTTATGAAAGTTGATTGATACATATTTTTTCTTTTTTACCTAAAAGAACATGGGCCATGTATAGTGATGCATACCTTTAATTCCTCACTTGGGAGGCAGAGGCAGGTGTGTTGAGTTCAGTGCCAGCCAGATCTACCTAAAGACATCCAGGCTCAAGAAACAAACACAAAAAGGACATGGAGGGCTGGAGAGATGGGTCAGTTGCTTAAGTACTTGCTTTGCAAGCAGGAGGACTTCAATTCAGAGCCCCAGCACCCATGAAAAATGCAAGGCATTGTGCAATGATAACACAAGCACTGAGGGACTGGGGACAAGAGGATCATTGGCTCACACTGGCCACCCAATCTAGTCAAATAAGTGAGCTTCAGTTTCAGTGAGAAACCCTGTCTGAAAGTGATTGAGTAAGACATCTAACAGTTACCTCAAGCTGGATGTGATGGTATATAGACCCTTAGCAGGAGTTGGAGATCATCCTTGGCTACATAGCAACCAACCTGGATTATATGAGACCTGTCTCAAAAAAGTCTAAAGTAGCTAAATAAATTTGGTTATTTTTCTAAAATAAAAGTTATGTCCCATCTTTTGAAAGACTTTGATTTTTTTGTTGTTGTTGTTTGTTTTTTGAGACAGGGTTTCTCTGTGAAACAGTCCTGGGTGTCTTGGAACTCACTCTGTAAACCAGGCTAGCTTGGAACTCCCTGAGATCCACCTGCTTCTGCCTCTCAAGTGCTAGGATAATAGGTGTGTGCCACCACTGCCCAGCTTGAAAGATTTTTTAAAAACTTGTTTTTTTTTTTTATGGTAGGTATTGAACCTTGTGAATGCATTGCAAGCCTTCTAACTGAACTGTACCACCCAGCACTGACATTTTTGAAAGCAAACTACTAGTCCTGACAATATATAAGTGCTGTCTCTAAGTGTTCAACTAATCACAGATCAAAAATATAAAAATACTATGGTTGTACTGAGATACAACTCTATCAAAACAAGTGTTCTGTTTTTTAAAAGAAACAAATTGGGTGTACTTCATTTGTTTTTGGAATCCTAGTAAGTATATTGTTTTCTTGAGATAACTCTTGTCATTAAAGGATTACTGAGAAATGTGCTTTTGAGTATTCCCTTAAGGTCCAAGTAATGAAGTTTGTTTTGTTTTGCTTCATTTAGGTATGGAGAAAATGAAAAATTACCAGAATACATCAAACAGAAATTACAGTGTCTCTCTTCCATCCTTGTGATGTTTTCTAATCCAACTCCTAGTTTTCATTAATTCAAGTCCTTTCAGGTGTCTTTATTTAATAAATGACTTTTTGGTTGGCTTTCAAGTAAAGTGAGGGTTTTTTTTGTTTTGTTTTGTTTAATTTACTGTAACTTCAGAAAGCCTTTCTATGGCCAGGCGGTGGTGGCGCACGCCTTTAATCCCAGCACTCGGGAGGCAGAGGCAGGTGGACCTCTGTGAGTTTGAGACCAGCCTGGTCTACAAGAGCTAGTTCCAGGACAGCCTCCAAAGCCACAGAGAAACCCTGTCTCGGAAAACCAAAAAAAAAGCCTTTCTATTAAACAGAAATTTAATCTTTATCATAAAAAATAAAAAATATATGCTAAGAAAACAAAATAGAATAAAACTTTTATTACCAAATACAGTGGTTATAAAATAAACTAGGACATCTGATTTTGCTCAAAGTACTTAATTGCTCAAACTTTCTGTGCTCATGTTTGTATTGAACTAAATTGTGTGTGGTGTGTTTGTTTTTGTTGTTCTGTACTAGTAAGTCATTGAGAATCATGAACAAAACATGTTATAGCTTTGAATATGTAAATAATGTACTTATAAGCAATATGTAAACATGTATATTTTGTATTTATTTTTGTAGCACTTGTGTCTGATAAAATATTTCTGCAAATACATTTTATAAAATAAACACATTGGTAAGTTTACTTTTCATTTAAATACTTGTTTTAAAATAGGTTACTACAAATTCTTAAATTTTGTTTGCTGTTTATGAGGAGCCCCCCTATTTTATTTTATTTTTTGAGACTGGGTTTAGCACACAGGCTGTCTTTTCTATCTTCTGTCACTCTCATCTTCCCTCTGCTGGGAGTTCCTGCATTGCTCCAGGAGAGAAGAGGGTACTGGGCAGACAGACACAGGACCTGAAGGAAGCTTGGGGTGGTAAAGATACTATGGCTCCTAGGCAGGCACTCAGAGAAAATGTCTATCTGGGCAGAGGGAAGCCATTAACCTCGCAAGTCAGAGGGAGGAACTTTGTCAGCAGCTCTTTCTGTGCCCTTTATAGGCACTTTTTGTAAGAAGTTTTATTTCACCCACAGAGGTCAGAAGGGGGTCAGATACTCTGAGTTTGAGTTATAGGCCATTGTGAACCACCATGTTAGTTCCAAATCCACCATAAGAGTAGTAAGCACTGTAAACTCTCGACCACATTAAAACGTGAAGTTTTAATCTTGTAAGCTAAATTCTTGGGCTTCATTACTGAGGTTTATCATTTCACTTATATTGAGATTTGCTCTACTATGATCATTTGCAAATGTATTCATGATATACTGTTCGTGTTTTCTTTATAATTAGAACCTTGAATTTCATGAGGAATCAAATTGAACTAATAGGACTGTCCAGTCACTGTACTCCAGCCATTTTGGACCTGGTTTGAGTTCTGACAAATCTCCCAAAATGTCTTATCTCTAGGTTGTTTGCAAATCCTACTTTCTGCCTTAAGTGCCTTAGTTCCACCTTTTCCCATTCTAGTCATTCTTACACCAGGTACCAGCAAATCCTTATTTTCTTAGGGAAGTTTCCTAGTGCTGCTCTTTAGGTTGAGCTCCTTCTGGCCTTATCTTTCATTACGTTTCCCATAGCCAACCATAAATATCTATACCAGCTAATTAGTGTCTGAGGTTCCTGATGGAGTAGAAGCCTAGCAGTCACTGCTCAAATTTCAGTAAGTACATGGGAATAAGCATGTATTCAGGGCTTCTTAATATGTACTCAAAGTTGGCAGATACAAATCCTTGCTTTTTTTGACATGAACATACACAATGTAAGAGAAAGTTATAAATAAATCTTTAATAGTAAATGGTAGACAGAATTGTCTTTAAAATAAGTCTTAAACAGATTCAAATAGTAGTTTATCATCATTAAATTAAAAATCACAAGTTTATTTCACTTTAACACAAGAAATGAGCTTGAAGAGCTTGTTTTATAGAGAAGCATAATGGCTAGAAATGCTTTAAGAAGTGACAATCCATTCAACTAAAGAAATAACCCTTTGCTAGGTTTTCAAGAACAACTTATTTACTATACAGTAGTAACAGTTTTCATACCTTATGGTCTCTGTCTGCTACTCAGTTTATCCTCACTTTGTTCTATTCAAAACTTTAGCTCTTTTCCTAAACCTGTTGTTTCCCTCACTTCTTTGGTGTCGAGGTATGTGGTAATCTACTCTCCCAAGAAACAAATGCCTTAGTAAAAAAGAAGGTGTAGTCACTTTTGCTAGGTTATAGTTCCCTGAATTGTAGTGTTACGATTCTAGGGCTGGAAAACTTGTTATGTTCTTGCTGGGAACATGGTATACTGATAAAAAAGCTTCTTCATTCATTACACTTAATTTTTTTTCCCCAAATATTTCTGCAAGTCTGAGTCACTAGTACAAATAGTTCCTCACAGTTAAGTAACTGGTAGTGCAACTTCTGGGAAATTTTCCTTTTCTGAAAAGTGCAGCTGAAGCCTCTGAAGACACTTAGACAAGGACCATGCCTCCATTAATTCAAATGTGTCAGGGAACAGGATCTTCAGCCCTAAGATTGCTGTGAGAAATTACTGTGGGTAACACAGGAACTTGGAGAGAACTCTCACTCTTTTACTGTTGTCTCTGCATAGCACACACAGAGGGTTTTAAGGTCAGAAGTGACCGGGACCTGACAACAGAAACTGACTAAAGCAAAATGCTGCCATCATCTAGTGTTGATAACTTCAGTAGACTGTGGAGTTGAGGAGAGTATGATGTTCATGCTCAAATTTGAAACCATGGTCACAGAATGGGAAAAACACTTTTGCATGTTTTCAGAGATTCCTGTACACATATCAGTGTTCTATTCACACAGAACCAGAAACTCTGCATTCTACCTCAAATCATAGCATGACTAGACAGGAATGTCACAGCATTCAAAGTCCAACTGTATAGTTCTGCTTCTATGAATGGGTCTGCAGGTCTGCACAGGATGGAAATAGCAGTTCCTCTCTGTCACTACTGAGACAGGGCAGTAAAATCTCAAAGTTGCACTAGAGTTTAAAGGACTTAGTCATTTTTCTTTCTTTCTTTTTTTTTTTGGTTTTTCGAGACAAGATTTCTTTGTATTGCTTTGGAGACTGTCCTGGAACTCGATGTATAGACCAGACTGGCCTCGAACTGACAGAGATCCGACTGCCTCTGCCTCCCAAGTGCAGGGATTAAAGGCGTGAGCCACCAACGCCCGTGGAAAATAGTGATAATTTCAAGAATCCATTTGCTGCTAATACCATTAAAAAACACATTTGTCTTATGTTTCTAATGTGAATTTACAAGCACTTGAAAAGGTAGCCCTTCTAAAGGTAGTAAAATCCACCTTGACTCTTAGTTCTCTTTACTCCTCAGATATTAGCATTATTCTTGCTCACAGGTTAATTTAGAAGTGAGATTCTAAGTTAAAGTAGACAAAGGTGCAATGTGCAAATTACACTGAGGGAGAGTCAATGGGTTCACCCTGAGCAGGAAAGAAAAACTTAAGCCTAGTCTGGTGGTGGGCAAGCTACAAGAATTTAAGGCTCAGTTTTATTTCATTAGGAAACTGAATAATAGTGCATTTTCATAAAAAAAGAAAAAACTTTGATTAAAATATTTGTATTTTTGTTTAAAAAATGTTTCAGTCTGCCCTGGCTGATTAAAACAGAATTTTCCTCCAGTTCCACTTTCATAGTCCCATTGTTTTCAGGAGAGCTTCACAGTTTATATTGAGTGCAGTTTTGCACCTACAAACATTATCCACCCACTATTGAGTTCGTGAACTTCAGTTAAGTACAATAAAGATAATTCACTTTTGATAAAGAGATTATGACCCAGAATGTATTTTCACACATTACCATTCATAGTTAACTTACTCAGCACATGTTTTTGATACTCAAGGCTGAGTTGGAGATGGTTGGCAGCAAGCATCCAGCAGAGACTGCTAGTTTATTCCTGGATCCTCCCACATCTGACAGAAAAGGCAATAAGTCTTCTGTAAACGGCTCCCATGAGTGAAATGGTGAGCACCACTATTCCACACACAAGGCTGAATGCCCATCGTGGGCCCAAGTAAGTGTACACATGGCTGATGAACACAGGCCCAAGAATCCGTGCTGCACTTCCAGAAGCAGATAACCAGCCCATGTACATACCCTGTATTGGGGGTAAGGTAGAGAACAACAGATTAATTCAGGTTTAGTTATTTCAAATAAGAACAGTAAATCAGGCGTAGCACAAGCCTTTAGTCATAGCACTTGGGAGGCAGAGGTAGTTGGATCTCTGAGTTAAAGTCCAGCCTGGTCTACAAAGTGAATTCCAGGTCAGCCAGGGCTGTTACACACAGAAACCCTACCTCAAAAAAAAAAAAAAAAAAAAAAAAAAAAAAAAAAACAACAACAAAAAAAAAACTGATCTGAGACAGTTTCAGGTCAGCTAGAGCTACACAGAGAAACTGTTTCAATAATCCAAAAACAAAACAATAAAAACTGATCTGATGATATGACAGACTTTGGAGATCCCTCAAGGAGGGCCTCACACTCCCTAGGGAGCTGAGGGGGGATGACCAGGAGGAGGGGAGGGAGAGGGAGCTGGGATTGACATATGAAGCAAGTTTGTTTCTAATTTAAATGTTAAAAAAGTGAGTGGAAAAAAAAAAAAAACTGATCTGAGCTGGAGAGATGGCTCAATGGTTTGGTAATATTTGACTTGTAAGTTCAAATACCTGCTTTCAATCCCTAGAACTTAATTAAAAAGCATGTGGGGGTAAGTCTGGAGGGAGAGATTGAATAAATATGATCAAAACATAGTGTGTGAAATACTTAATAAAAATAAGAGCAACAGGCCAGGCAGTGGTGGCGCACGCCTTTAATTCCAGCACTCGGGAGGCAGAGGCAGGGGGATCTCTGTGAGTTCGAGACCAGCCTGGTCTAAAAGATCTAGTGCCAGGACAGCCTCCAAAGCCACAGGGAAACCCTGTCTCAAAAAACCAAAAAAAAAAAAAAAAAGTAAGAGCAACAAAAAGAAATGGGGCATGGTAGCATGTGCTTGAAATCCCAGAATTGGGAAGTTAGACACAAGCAGAACCCTTGGGTTCCCCAGGCAGCCAACCAACCATAGCCAATATATATACTGAGTCTTGGGCCAAGGAATGCTGGTATTAAAGGCATGAATCACCATGCCTAACCATTTTGTCTCAGAGTGTGGGGGGAAGGGGGAGGGCATGTGCCTGCTCTCCAGTGAGCTAATCCCTTGCAGCTGGAGTCACAGGTCATAGACCTCCTGATCTGGGTGCTAGGACCTGAACTTCAGTTCTCTGGAAGGGCAGTAGGCACTCATGACTGCTAAGCCATGTATCCATCCCCTTAGTTTGCTTTTTAAAGATGATCTTACAGTATAGTCTAGGTTTGCCTAAGAATCAACAAGTAGCCTTGGCTGGCCTCAAATTCAAGATCTTCCTGCTCCTTCCTCAGAAATGCTGAGATTACAGTCATGTGCCACCACAACCATTTCAGTTTAATTTAATTTGATTGGTTGGTTGGTGTTTTGAGACAGGATTTCTCTGTGTAGCCCTAGGTGTTCTAGAACTCGCTTTGTAGACCAGGCTGGCCTCGAACTCAGATCCACCTGCCTCTGTCTCCCAAGTGCTGGAATTAAAGGCATGTGCTACCACCTGGTCTGAGTTTAATGTTTAAAGAGTAAGATAATTTGTGGCCATTTATATAATTGTCATTAAAAACAAGAGTTTAGAAATACAGAAAATAAGTAAACAATAGTCCGATTATGAGTAAGTGATGGTACATCTATATAATGAAATAGTGTCTCACTGAAAGTAAATCTAAAGAATCCACGACATACTCCTTAAAGTACATGTAGCCATTTACATAGTCATAGAGAAGGGACTGAAAATGGAGTCTGACTTCATTAAAATATTAGTAGTTATGGCCTCTCTGAAACTATTATTCATATGTATCTATGTATTTTTTTCATTTTTTATAATGAATACATAAATTACTTTTGTGTGTGTATGTGTGCATGCCAGAGATCAAACCTAGGATGTCAGGCATTCTAGGATAAAATCTGTGCTTCTAGCCTAGGAATTTCCTGTGTGTTTTTGTGTTATTTAGGACCAAGTTTCACTATATGGCTTGGCTGTCCTAGACCTCACTGTGTAAACCAGGCTGGCCTTGAATCTTCTGTGATCCTCCTACCTCAGCCTCCTGGATTCTGAGATTACAGCTATGTATAACCATGCCCAGCTCAGCCCTGACATTCTTACTTAAAAATTAATTTTGGACCAGGGCTTTAGCTCAGTGGTAGAGCACAAGGATCCAATCCTAGCACTGAAAAAAAAAAAAAGTTAAAACTTAAAATACAGCTAGGCAGTGGTGGGGCACACATGGGGCACACATTTAATCCCAGCACTTAAAGACACCCTGGTCTACAGAGTTCGTTCCAGGACAGACTCCAAAACTACAGAGAAACCCTGTCTTGGAAAGAAAACCTTAAAATACATACAGATAGGTTTCAGAGTAGCTCAGTAGTAGCAGCTCAAGGTCCTGGTTTTAATCTCCAGCACAACACGGAAAAGGAAATAGATATAGCTGCTAAACTGTTTGAGACTATTGTATTTTTTAAGTTCAGAGACTTTTTTCAATGAAAAGTATTTTGAGCTCATAATTACTGAATTTAAGACATCTGATTTCTGGCTAAGCAAGGTTGTATTTCACCAGATAAATCTCACCAAACACATCATAGAATTTTTTGAGTGTTGGAAGCAGACAGAGGTAGAACCTAAAACTCAGACCTGCAGGGATACAAGTGAGCTCCAGCTCCAGAGCCTGTCTAAGAAGTACACCTCTCCCCAAAATTAGCCTTTTATTTTGTTTTCTTTTTTCATTTGAAATGTGAAATCAGATTTTTTTTTTAGATTTATTTGTTTATTATGTATACAATGTTCGCCTACATGTAGGCCTGCAGGTCAGAGAGTGCGCCAGATCTCATTACAGAGAATTGTGCAACCATGTGGTTGCTGGGAATTGAACTCAGAACCTCTGAAGAGCAGGCAGTGCTCTTATCCTCTGAGCCATCTCTCCAGCTCCATGAAATTAGATTTTTAAAATCTGCTTAAAAGGAAATGTGCTAGTGCTGAGACAAAATGTTAACTTACCTGGGGTTTGGGTCCTAGAACTTTTGAATATAATGTATAGGACATGACATTGCAGGCTGGATAGCCGATTCCAACTAGCACAGCAGCTGTCAGGAACTGGGCCAGATGGATCACCGGGGTATACAGGCACCAGGCTTGTTCAATTGGGCACCCGGTTGGCTGCTCACTGTGATCTTCTCTTGGAGAATTCCAAAGATCTATAATAATTTCTCCAAGTGTAGTATTAGGGATTGAGCTGTTGTGTAAATCTGTAAAATAAAGATAAGGTATCACTTGCTACTTCTAAAGAATGGAATGGACTGGTGTTACAGAATTAAAATCACCATACCTTCCCACTGTACTTTGGGAAACTGATTTCCCCAGGGTAACAAGATAAAGAAGCCGACCCATACAACCACGAGACCTCCCAGGAGAATGGCACGCTCATCAATCCTGTTGAACAGAAACTGATTTTGAAATGCAATGTGAATTCACAGTTCTGTTACCATAACTAAAAAAAAAAAAATGTAAGTAAACTTGCTATACAATTCATTATATTTATCAATTAATGCAATACTAAATAGAATTCCCCACTGAAAGCACCCAGTACTAGGCATGGCAGTGTACACCTGTAGCCTCAGCACCTAGTTAGATACAGAGCAGAAACCCAGGGAGGGAGTTCAAGGACAACCTGGGCTATATAGAGAGACCCATTCTCAAGAGAAAAAGAAAAAAAAGGCTTCTCTAATAAACTGATGATTTCAGATTAGGGAGCTGGACTCGAGGTGATGAATGCATTTATCTTTTCCTACAGAAAGTAGAGCTTGTCAGTAACTATTAGGGCAAAGAGACTTAGAGCCAGTGTGAAGAATGACCATACCTATACATGCCTATGCTCATTTTCAACCAGTATTTTAAGAATAATTAAACCATTAAAGCTGTTCATCAGCTAATAACCTGTGTTAACCTATATGGAAGGCTGAGATATATAGCTCAGTGGTAGAGTGTTCAGTGGTGGTATGCATGAAACCCTGGTACAATCCCTGCACCATAGAGAAAAGTAAAACTACGTGACAGAATTCAATTCCAGAATTCAATTCCCATGCATTCCCATATTTCCCACACACAGGGTTCCTTATAGTTACTTTCATAAAATTATTCTTTTAAAAAAGTTATCTAGGCCTGGCGTTGGTGATGCACACCTTTAATCCCAGCACTCAGGAGGCGATCTCTGTGAGTTCGAGGCCAGCCTGGTCTCCAGAGCGAGTGCCAGGATAGGCTCCAAAGCTACACAAAGAAACCCTGTCTCGAAAAACCAAAAAAAAAAAAAAAAAAAAAAAAAGTTATCTAGGGGCTGGGAATATAGTGGTAAAGTACTTGCCTAGCATATGTGAGGCCCTAAATTCAACCCCCAGCACCACACACACACAAATAGTTATGTGGTCAAATAACTTGGAGAAATAATTATAATTATATATGCCATGGTGATGGTATAGTGTTTATAAGATGGAGGCCTAGTTAGATGTTCTAAAATATATAAGCCTATAATCCCAGTGCCTCAGAGGTGGAGGCAGGAGGATCAATAATTCAAGGTTAGCCAGGGTACATGAGACCCTGACTCATAAAAACAAAACACACACACAAAATCTATGTAAGTTCAATTTGTTCTTTGAGACATGGTCTCAATAGGTAACATGCAGGCACTCATGGTCCTCTTGTCTCAGCCATCAGTGTAGAGGCTTTAATAACCAGAATTTCCCAAACTTAGTCATTCAATCTCATAAGACAATGTTTTATGAGATACACTTTTAGTAATATACATTAAAAATTATATAACAATAGTTAGTATACAGTTTTTTTTTTTTTGGTAAGGCATTTTACTTTACCAAAGTGATGCCATAGAATATAAAAATATACATTCTCAGTAAAGTTTTCATCTTTTTGCAAACTTTCAAGAACTGTAATACAGCCAGGCATGGTGGTGCCTTTATTCCCTGTTCTCAGGAGGCAAAGGCAGACTGACCCATGAATTCCAGGCTAGCCAGGTCTATGTAGTGAGTTCCAGACTAGCTAAGGCTAATAAGCTCTGTCTTAACAACAACTAAAAAGCTATAACAAATGAAAAAATGTACTAGCATATTCATTTATATTAGTACTGCTTCATGTTTCTTTTTTTCAAAGACAGATTTGAAATAAAACTAAAACCATATAACTTACTTTTTGGAAAGTAATTTAACACCCATAAAAACAACAACTGCCTCAACTCCAAGAGCAGCAAGAATTACTCCGTCATAGAGCACAGCCTGCTCCTGGGTCCAGGCATACATGTCCATTGTTAATGGAGTGAGGATTCTAAGAAGAGAAAGCCATTGCTAAGAATTAAATATAAGCATTTATAATAATACCTTCAAGAATATACAAACCCTTTTAATTTCATATATAAGTTTATATAAGGAACACAGTCACATTGCAGGTTTGCAAACAAGAGACAACATAAATCAGTTACAGCCCTATCCTCCAAGCAACCAGTCATGATTACACTCTTTTTTTTCGTAGGGGGAGCTTTGAGCTTTAAGGGTGAAACTATGACTAGCCTTTCTTTGGGGCGTCACTTCTACTGAGGGCCTACTCTAAAGAGCCCCTACAGAAGTAAACTTTATGTTGATATCATTTTCAAAATCAGAAATTTATTTTAGTTTTGCTGGAAGTGCACTTTCTACATGCCCCCCCATTATAAAGTATGTGTGTTACCAGCAATGTCACACTGTTAGCAGACAGCAAAACAATTTAAAGTTTAAATTTTGTATTAAAAAGAATAGTATCTTAAATTTTGAAATCAGATGAGCTGATATGGAAAACAGATACATGCTTTCTCCAAGGGCTAAACAGTTAACAGGTACAGATCCAAGAACTGAACTCCAGCAGACATTTGCACAGCAATGTCACTCAACACAGCTGCATGATGCCAACGGAGCTCTCATCAGCAGATTAGTGGTCAACTAAAAGTAGCTGCCACCTGCCATAAGAAGTTAGAGAAGTCTGATACACCACAGTAGGAGGAACCCTAAACCTTCACACTCAATGAAATAAGACATGCATAAAATACTGCATGATGCAACTTCTTTGAGGGACCTTATACAGACAAGTCATCAGGAGCTGGTGAAAGACATGGGGAGTAACTGTGAGGGTGTGCAGCTTGTTTGGGATGATGATAATCTTATGACTCACAAAGTTGTAACCACACTTAATGCCATTGTATTCAACTTTTCAAAAACAGTTAAGAGTCTGAGAAATGGCTCAAGATTAAGAGCACTTGCTACTCCTGCAGAGGACCCAGGTTTGATTCCCAGCACTACAAGATGGTTCATAACCATCTGTGATTCCAGTTTCAGGGAAGCAGTTCTCTCTTCTGACCTCTACTGGCACCAGGTACACACATGGTATACATATATTACATGCAAAACACTCATAACACATTTTAAAAAATAAAAATAAATCTAAAACTTAAAAAAAGTTAATGTTGGGCCTAGTTGTACAGGTCTGTAAACATTACAGGAGGCTAAGACAGAAGGATCACAAATTTAAGCCCTGTCTGAGCTACAGAGTGAGTTTAAAGCCAGTCTGGATGTCTTAGTGAGAACTCATCTCAAAATAAAAAGTAAGCAGGTTGAGAATGTACCTCACTTCCCTAGCATGCTTAAGATCCTAAATTAAATCCCCAATGTTAGGGGGGAAAAGATTAATATGGTCAATTTTATGTGCCGTGTGTTTTGCATTAAAAATGTTCCCTAAAATGAATTAAGATTTTCATATGGATGAATTATTTTGAAAATATACACACCAAGCACATCCATTGATTCGTATTGATACAAAAATGTTGTCAAATGGTGACGTTACAGCTTAGGAGAGTGTAATACATTCTTCCTCTCCATTGAAAAAAACATGAAGTAGATTTTTGCAGGGCATATTTGTATGTGTATATGTGTATATAATGCTACATTTGCATATTTTTTCTCTTTTGAAAGGGTCATGTGATTTTTAAAAAAGGATGAATGAAACCTACACAGTTGTGAATTTTATAATTTTTGATCAAAGATTAAATAGAGATAATATTGCCAGACTTAGTGTTATGTCATAATGTAAAATCTATATACATTTATATTTAAATTGGTTGTGGTGGCATACCCATTTAATCCTAGCACTTGGGAGGCAGAGACACTCAGATTTCTGTGAGTTCAAGGCCAGCCTGGTCTTCAAAGGGTTCCAGGACAGCCAGGGTATATAGACCCTGTCCCCCAAAAACAAAACAGAATAAAAAAACCCAAAAATTTTATTTAAGAAAATATGCCTTACATAAATCTTTAAAAACAAAATCTATATGTATAATTAACACTGCATTAAGAAACATGGATTACTAAGTAATTGGATTTAAATAAAAAATAACACTTACGTTTCAAACAGGGCAAAAATAAACAAAACCACAAAAAACAGAATATTGGTAGTCACAACAGCAACTTGATCAATGCTTCCTTCAGGAATATGAACTTCATCTGTATTTTCTATAAATGGGAGAGAAATATTATTACCTATTTGTGTAATTTTGCATATGATGATAAAGTAATAGGAAATTATTAGCTGGGTGTGATGGCTCACACCTTAATCCTAGCACTTGGATTATAATCACAGCAAATCTGAGGCCAGCCTGGGCTAGGAGGTGTGGGGGAAGAGAAAATAAAAGTAACAAAAAAGGGAAGAGGTTGAGAAAGAAGTATCAAGATTCCCATAGTAATAAATCTTCAAATGGTAGTTAAGGTAAAGTAGATAGTCTTCCAAGAAGTATGTTTGAGTTCCATTACCTGTAGGAAATACTCAGGGTGGTTTATGTTGGTGTCTCCCAATCCAAAAGAGTGTTTAATAGACTTCTTAAAAAATACATTTGCTTTCAATTCCAGGTATGGATTTTCTACCTGACTTAAATCTTAATCTTACAATGATTCTATTATGTTCTATCAGTAGTTCATTAAACCAGTTCCCAGTTCTTTGGTTCATTTCAATGGCTCTTTTTTTTATTTCAATAGTATATCTTTATATCTTTGCATGACAGTAGCTTTAGAAGGCAAAGCACAAAGTACAGACATTTCAGACATAACTTCATAGTTATATACACAGCTGTGTATCTGCTCAAACCCATTCCTTATGTTATTACTCAGTGTGAACAATGTAATAACACAAGAATGAACATTATGCTCTGGGAGGGGGCAAAAAATGAGAAGCATGGTATGGTGTTCCCTGACAGAGAAAGTTTGTGTATGTTTTTGTAATGGTGTCTGCCCTTCTACCTGAAGGGAATGGAGATTTAGAAATGTCTGTAGTAGTATAGAGAGTGGCATGTGACTTTTCTTTCCAGTCACACTAAGAGTAACGGTCACCTTCATCCAGATCCCTTCACAGAAGCAGGCCCAAGCTCTTCTGACCCTTGTACTATCTGGGTACACCTTTCTAATTCTTAGTTAATACCCAGGGCCTATCTTGACTTCTTTGAATCAAGTACTAATGCTGCACTGTCAGACTGAAATTTCCTACATATCCATTGGTTGTTTCCTGCAAGCTATATCCAGTAAGGATAGAGCTGTAAGGAATCTCAGAAATGTATCCCAAACTGAGGAAATTGACTAAATGTCCTAATTACAAGAATTTTAGGGCCTGTCAGTGGTGGTGCAAGCCCTTAATCCCAGCACTCAGATGGTCTCTGTGAGTTCAAGGCTAACATGGTCTACAGAATGAGTTCCAGTACAGCCAGGACTACAAAGAGAAACCCTGTCTTGAAATAAATCACACACACACACACACTCACACACAAGAATTTTAAGGAAAGACTACTTCAGTTTATATTGATAGATTTAGTTTTTAAATTAAATTGGTTGGTTGATTTTTATATGTATTAGTGTCTTGCCTGCAGCATATATGTATATGTTTGGTGGTTGCAGAAGTCAGAAGAGGGCTTCCAAGTCCCTGAAACTGAAGTTACAGAATGTTTTGAGTCACCATGTGGGCACTGGGAACTGAACCCAGGTCCTCTGCATGAGCAGTAAGTGATTTTAACTGCTGAGCCATTACTCTACCCCACCCCCCAAATTTTATGTAAAATTATAATCCCACTCAAAACTTCTTTAAACTTGAACATCTTTAGATATTAAAAAATCATGTAAGTCTTTACCAATTCATTTTATCAAGGTATTTATTGAAATATAAAATGATCTTATATGAAAGTATTCAGTAAAATTACTTTGTTTTTTGTATAATTTTATAAAATCACTGAGCAAGTACCAACTTTCATTCTTACATATGATTGAAGGCCACAATTGATAACTAAATAACAATTTATTAAGTAAAATATTCCTACTTACCAGGAACTTATAAATTGGGAACTTATAAATAAGCCAATAAAAGATTTAAAGGACTGAGCTGTGAGATGGGTAAAGTGTCCACTGCGTAAACATGAAGGTCTGAGTTCAGATCCACAGCACCCACATGAAACTCAGGTCTGTGGTGATGCTAACTGGAGGACACAGACAGGTGGACTCTTGGGGATCACTAGCCAGCCATTCTATTCAAATTGGCAAGCTCCAGGTCAGTGAGAGACTGTCTCAGAAAGTAAGTGGAAACAAGGAAATCATCAATGTAGACCCCTGACCTCATGTGCAGCTACATGGGCATGCATACCTGTACACATATGCACACATGCATGCACCACACATACCCATAAAATAACTTAAAAGATGAAAATATACACTTATAAAATAATAGAATGCCTACTATCTTGATAAAGGTACTGGGAACTGCTGGAAGCCAGGTGTATGTATATGTTGTACAACTGTAATCTCAGCACTTATAAGGCTGAGGCAGGAGGATCTCAAGTTCTAGGCCAGCTTTGCCAAGCATGTCATTTTCAAGGTAAGCCTGAGCTACATACTGAGACACTGTCTCAAAACAACAACAAAACCTGCTTGAAAGGGCTTCCTGTACCAGGGTTATCAGAAGTATGGCAATGAGCACAAGGATTTTAGGACACTGGCTCTTTGAAAAAGAAAAGTGGTCTTTAGCAATGGCTTTTATCCTTGCCAATAATAAACAACATATAACTGACAGGTCTGGGTTCTTTTATTAATGTAGATTCCTTTAACCTTGGAAGATATTCCCCAGTCACCTACCATACTGTGCTTAGAGACAAAAGCAATGTAAATACCAAGGAAACAGAATCAGAATTTAGATGGTGCTACACAGGTTAACAGTACCTTCTTGAAAATTCACACTCTTACACTGCCGTCCTGAGTCATCTACACGATGCTCTCTTAAAAAGAAAAGCATAAATATTAAGACCTTAATTCAGAAGCAGTTTTCTTATTATTTGCACCCTATCTTTTCCACAGGCAGACACAATTTCTTTTATTGGCTTCTGAAAGTTACTAATTACTAATAAACATAACCAATAAACCAAAAAAATACCTTTTGTTTTCAGTACTAGTCAAGAAGCACAGGGCCTCACACATGCTGGACAAGCAAGGCCCAAAGCCTTGCACTGGATCTCCAGTGTGAGCTTTGGTGAGTAAAGGCCCAGCACTGTTGTCCAGCTGCTCTCAAACACCTGAGGTCAAGTAATCCTCCCACTTCACTCTCCTGAATAGGAAGATTACATAGCATATAAAACTTTCAAGATTTATCTAGAAGCATGTATATTTACATTAGTATGTATTTGAGGTTTTCAATGTTTTAAAAATGGTAAGTAGTTTTGGGTGGTTCAAGCCCACCCAGGGACGTTGTGTAGCTTTTAAGATGGGCAGTGGTGGCACAGGCCTTTAATCCCAGCACTCAGGGGAGGTAGAGGCAGGCAGATCTCTGTGAGTTCGAGACCAGCCTGGTCTACAAGAGCTAGGTCCAGGACAGCCTCCAAAGCCACAGAGAAACCCTGCCTCGAAAACCCAAAAACAAAACAAAACAAAACAAAAATTGTAAGTGGCTTTGGAAAATTGGATGAAGCACTCTAAAACATATAACATAATATTATGCTTGGTGGCGCACACCTATATTCCCAGCACTTCAGGGGATAAGGCAAAGAGAATCCTGAGTTCTCAGGCAGTGTTGACTACATAGTAAATTTTTTTTTCTAAAAGTTAAAACATAAACACAAAGTAATACTTGTTTTAGAAAATGAAATACCATTTTTTTTCTTATTTTTCTTTCTTTTTTTTTTGTTTTGTTTTTTGTTTTGTTTTTCAAGACAGGATTTCACTGTGTATCACTGGCTGTCCTGGAACTCACTCTGTAGACCAAGCTGTTCTCAGATTCACAGAGATCTGCTTCCTGAGTGGTAGGATTAAAGGTGGTGTGCACCACCACCACCACCAGGCAAAATATAGTTAGTAAATGAAGAATAGATCTTCCTCATCTGTGTCCATTCCTTGTCTGTCTTATTACTGCAGTTACCAGTATAACATGCCTAAGCTGTTCAAAAACTACCCAATATGGACAGCAAAACACACAGACTTCACAGGACCAGCCACAGCTCAGGTCTACAATCTCAGCTACCCAGAGGCTGCCTGGGACTCAGAGCACCTAGGCAACTTAACAGGTCCCTGCATCAAAATAAAAAGTAAAAATTAGAAAGGGCTGGCAAGGGCTTCAGCAGCTTAGAGCACTTGCTGGTCTTGCTAAGGACCCAGGATTGGTTCCTGGAACCCAACTGTGTGTAACTCCAGTTTCACGGGACCCAATTCATCCTTCTGGTTCCTGAGGGCACTGCATGCATGTGCTCCACATACATACATATAAGCAAAACATTTTAAAACACATAAAAATCCCTTTATAAAGGGAGATAGGGTCTTGGGAGATACAGAGTAGTGGTAAAGGGCTTGCTTAGCATGTATGAGGCCCAACAGTCAATGCTACAAATACAAAAAGACTTCATAGGAATAATTATCCTTGAATAATAACAAATCTTGTTAACTTTCAGACAATTTATAAACATAGCTTATCGCTTCTATGTAGTTACCTTAATATAAAGAGAATCAGAATAATGTTTACAATTCCCAGGAAGGCACCAAGTAAAACTGGTGCTGTGTACATGTTGATCTGCAGCTTAATGGTGTCCCACGTTACTCCCTTTTCTCCAATGAGTGCAAAGCAAGTCTGAAAAACTAACAAAGTGACATATGTACAAGTAAGTTTTGATGGGAGAAGCATAAGCTAAAAACTGTAAAAGATGCTTACCACAGAACTATTAGGGTCTATATGAAGCCACCATGTGTATTAAGGAATCTCAACTGCAGTGAGAAAATTGGCTCTTGGTTGGTGGAGACAATTTATTCTTTTCTTGTATAAATCACAAATACACACACACACACACACACACACACATATATATATATATATATATATATACACAAATATATTAGTATATATGACAGATATATGATATTAAATTTTCATGCAGGTTAGAATAAATAGGAAAAACATCTAAGGCAGCTCTTTAGGGAGACTATTAAAAAGGTGAGACAGATGTGTACATTCACAAAGATTATACAATTTGATCAATCAACTCAGCATCCTCTTGACCATTTCTATTAGCATATACTCATTTTATATAATAATAAGATTTATTGTAACATTTTCATAGATCTATAATGTGTTCTTATCATATTTACCACCCATTTGGTGTCTTCATTTTTGTCAGGAGAGGGGTGCTAGGGACTGGGGCCTGAGGCCTGCTAAGTATCTACCCTACCTCTGAGCTACATTCTCAGTCCCAGTATCTATTTTTCTAAAAAAAGAAAAAAGAAAACTACTGTATATGAAAGTTAAGCTATATAATTTATTCAATAAATAAAATATAAATTTTAATAATTACATTGATTTATGTAAGTGGAAGTGGGCAGGAGAGCTTGCACCTGCCAGGGTGTACCTGTGAAAGTCAGAGAACAATTTTTAATCTCTCCTTTCACAATATGTTCTCCAGAGATCAAATTCAGCCTACTAAGTTTGGTAGCTAGCACAAAGGTAAAGACCCATTTGTAGTGATATATTATTTATGATTTATTAAAGCTTGACTGAAGATTTAGAAAAGCAAAGTCAGCCTCAAGCTATAGAGATCAGACAGTGGTGATACACACCTTTAGTCCTAGGACTCAGGATTAAGAGACAGATGGATCTCTGTGAGTCCAAGGCCACCCAGATCTACACAAGAGTGAATCAGTCTAAAAGAGAATTATAGCTCACACCTTTAATCCCAACATTATGAAAGTATGTAAGACAGAAGCAAGGTCTCAGAGAGGCATTTGTTCTCCAGCCACACTGAGGAGGAGGTTACAGTCTGAGACTTGGTGAAGAGCTCATGAAGACAGGACCAGCCTTTTCAGACTGAGCTAGAGGTGAGAGCTAATGGCTGGCTGCTTCACTTTTCTGATATTCAGATTGAAGTTTGAACCCCAATATCAGTTTCTGGGTCTTTCATTAATTCGTGTTACACCCATTGAACAATCTTGTTGGCTCAAGTAGTTAGAAATTTAACCAACTTCATTACTAGAAAACATAACAGTTTCAAGTCAAGTATTTTGAATATTATTGTATATGTGGTACTTAAATTATACATATTTAGTATCACTTAACATTAATCTGTAGTAAAACTTGGATGGAACAGTTCTGGTCTTCACCCCTGGTTGATATGATTTTCCTTGGGCCCTGTCAGTAACTGGGATCTAACTTTAGCTGAGTCGAAAAGCAGATGCTGCTCTTACAACAGTACTGGGTACAAAGCACACAGGAAAATGTCAACTCTGAGCCCTGAACTTCCCACCTGCTTTGATGACACTGGATAGATTCTATACCCTGGGATCCTTATCTGTAAAAGGGGCAAACATCATTCAATTAAGAGCTCTGGTGTCAAGGCAAAATAGTCTAGCAATAGTAGTGTATTGAAAACATTAATGTCAGCTGGGTGGTGGTGGTGCACACCTTTAATCCCAGCACCTGGGAGGCAGAAGCAGGTAGGTTTCTGTGAGTTTGAGGCCAGCCTGGTCTACAGAGTGAGTTCCAAGACAGGCTCTAAAGCTACAGAGAAACCCTGTATCAAAAAATAAAACAAAACCAAACAACAACAAAAAATCTAATGTCCCTCCCTGTTAATGCTATAGCTCAGTGGTAGAGTGCTACCTAGCATACATGAAGCTTTAGGTCAGTCTTCAGTATTACACACACACACACACACACACACACACACACACACACACACACACACACACACACGGGGTTTGGGGAGATTAATGCTTTCTTTTCATTGTGATAATTTTTAGCTAACATAGGAAATGTGTTTCATTATGATATTTTTATGAATTTATATCACTGTACTTTGCTCTTAATTTCCTGGCTCCCTCCCTCCCTCCTTTCTAAAGTTTCTCTCCTTTTCCCTTTAGCCACAAAGCTTCACACATGGGTTACATTTAAGTTTGAACCACAAAGGTTTTCCTAATTCAAATTTAAGAAATCAAGTAAAGACTACAGACCTGGACCCAGAATAAAGCCCAAAGCTTGGCATGTGCTCGTATTGGCCATGGCACTTGTTCTTTCCTGAAGGGAAGTAGCACCAGCAATGTATGATCGAACAACAGCTACGTTTCCTAAAGAGACAATAACAGTAAAGGAATCACCCTTCAGCTATAATACTCACCTCAACTGGCTTTACACAGAGCAAGAAATACTGATGAGCACCATGGTCACGTCTTCCTCTATGCCATCTTACACAGTATGTAAGATTTTTATTGAACAAACACATAACTAAGGGAACAAAGTATTTTCACTCATACAGAAACTTCAGCTAGGCTGGGTAGTGCACACCTATAATCCCAGCAACTGGTACACAGAGGCCAGCCTAGACCACATAGTGAGTTCTAGGTCAGCCTAAGGTATATAGTAAGACTCTGTCTCAAAATCAACCAACAACAACAAAACAAGAATCAAAATAAAACAAGCCCACCCACACAAGTTAAAACATAGTTTTAGATAATGTAAAAATGGCATTATTATACCAAGATTTTCTCATCAAATAATGGACAGCTGTAATAACAGAGTGCTATGCTATAAGGAAATGTGTCACAAATGGATGCACAGACATGTAATACAGAAACAAAGAGTCCACTAAGAATGTAAGTAAACAATTTTGGGCTGGAGAGGGCACAGTGGTTAAGCATTCATACTGCTCTTATAGCAGACCTGTGTTCAGTTCTCAGCACCCACATCAGACAACTCACAAGCACCTGTAACTCCAGCTCCTGGGGATTCAGTGTTGTCCTTTGGCCTCAGGGTACTACTATCACATGCATATCTTCACTAGGCACATACATATACACAACAAAAACAAAGGTTTTTTTTATTATTAAGCACTTATTTTATAGTAGAGACTCTGCTAGGAACCACAGAACATTTTAAACTATCATTTACTGCTTCTAATGTAAAAATCATACTAAAATTGATGAGAAAAGATGGAACCAGTACAACAGGGCAAGCAAAGGCCAGAAACAGGTCAGAAAAGAAAAGGAACCATTCAGAGGCAAGAAGCTCAAGAGGACTCCACACTCAATAAAGCACTTAATGTGTATCTTGAGGGTGAAATCTGATGGAAATAAAAGAGAGGACCTGTAGGTCCTAGGAGGATTATGAGCAAAGGCAAATGAAAGGCACCTTCCTCTTCCTAAGATGTGTGTGGGATGTGAAACTGAGCGGGGATGACACAGGGAAGACATGGCTATGAACAGTAGGAAGAATGTGAAGCTTACACACAAACCCACATACACACACACACACACACACACACAGAGAGAGAGAGAGAGGGAAGAGAGAGAGAAAGAGAGAGAGAGAGACTGAGCAGGGATGACAAGGGGAAACATGGTATGAAACACATACACACACACACACACACACACACACACACACACACACTTACCTGCTCCAAATCCCACCAATCCACGAGCAATCAACATGTAGTATTTATTATGAGCAGCTGGTACGTGAACATATGCATATAGGCAGTTGGCTACCACCGAAATAAAGATGGAGACGATAAGAGGTTCTTTTCTTGGCCTATAATTAGACCATAAACCAAATAGAGGTGAAGCTACCATTTGGCCAAGACTAAATGAAGCAATAACCCAGCCTAAAAAACTTGCATCGGCTGTCTGATCAATCTGCAGAGAAAAGTAAATGCTTTAAGAATCATCACATAACAACAGTCATAAGCTTCTGGCAGCTACAAACATCCAAGGCAGACTTTTATGTGAATATAAGTCTGGGTAACTAAGTATCTGGGAACATGGCTGCTAGATCAGTTAGTAAAACTATATTTAGCCTTGTAACCAATACCCAGACTATATTCCAGAGTGGCTGAACCACCTGCATTTCTACCACAACCTTTCTGGATTAGTATTTCTGTGGAGAACTCCTGGAACATATTAATAATCGTGGAGAAGTTCATCACTGTACATTCGACATTATAGCACTGTGTGGTAAGTTCTAAAGATACAGAGATGAAATGGAGTCATCCCTTGATGTTCTCAGAACTGACTCCAAGACTCCAAAACACCAGAATGCGTGCACACACAAGACCTTCATATAGAACATTTGCATACCAACTACATATACCTTCTATAGGTGTAAGTCATCTCTGATCACTTATAATACCTACTACAATGTAAATTCTGTAAAGACAGCTATCACATAGTATAGTTTATGGAGTAATAACAAGGAAAATAGTATGGGTGATTTAAAAAAATATTTCCAAACTTGAATTTTTGGATGCAGAACCCAAAGATAAGGAGGACCACCTATATACAACCTGTCCCAGACTGGGTGTTGACAGTCAGAGGAAGCTTCCCAGAGGACATGAGAAAAGAGGCCCGAAGGGTGAATAAAGGTAGAAAGGAGGAAGGGGGGGGCACAGGAAGGAAGGTGAGGAAAGGAGCTAGAAAGAAGCTAGGGAAGGTGACTCTGTGCAACCCTGCAGAGCCTGGGTTACTGAAGAAGGTATGTCTAACACACTGCTCTCTACTTATCTATTACAGGTCAAAACTTAACACACATGAATCTCTGGAAAATCAGTAAGCAAGGGGTGAGCTGCTAAAGATACAGAGAATTAAGACTAAGAAATTAAAGTTAAGACAAAAGCTGGCACAAAAGAGAGGACAGTGCAAACCCTTCACACATGAAGGACAAAAAATGAACTGAACACAGATTTTTTTTCTTGTCACTGTTCTAGGACTGAGCAGTTTAACAACTACATAATGCTGGCATTGTCCTAGGCATTATATGCAATCTAGAGATGATTACAGCATGTAGAAGAATGTGCACATATTATAAGCAAATACTACATCACTTTATGTAGTGGACTTGCACATACAAACATTTTGGTACACTTTGAGGGGACTTAAAAACCAATCTCACAGCACTATCAAGAGACAGCCATGTTGCCTATCCTTTTCACAAAGTTTTCCTGAAAACTCAAATTAATTCCACGGGAAAATCATGAAAGTATTCCTCAAAAATGTCATCTGTACATTTTGAGAATTCCCTTTGTCTACTTGCGCTGCTTTCACTAGGGAGACAGTGATGGATGTGAACACACCTGATTAAGAGGGTAAGCACACCTTCACTCTGCCTGCCACTCTCCAGGCATGAGTCTGTTTCTTGGCACAGCACCCTTTCTGCTTTAACTGTTTTTGTTTGTTCAATAAAGCATATGACCAACATGCCTCCTTCGAGGAACTACTATTTTAAGCTGTTCTGAGACAGATCAAACTACATAATACTAAAGACACTCTCTAGACAATGCTTGACAACACTAGAGTTACCTCCACTATTATTTAAATCAACAGATTGAAATGTACAAACCTTTTGAAGGTATGGCCAGATTGACATTATCACAATAGAAAAACCTGCAAAGGAGCAGACATGTTTACTTGCATTATAATAATGTAATCACTATGACAGGTATAGCTTTTAGAAATATAGCACGGATTTTTAAAATATTCTGAGCCTGAAAATTTACACACACAAATGCTTAACTTATCAAGCAGTAAAGTCTTAACCCTAAGAAGGATAATAAACTCTAATATAAACTAGAAACACAAGGTAATCATAGTCCCTTACTCTGCCTGATACAGCAAGATCAAAGGGTCTGCTTCTCTTCTCATATCCCTTGTAAGTGGAAATTACTGAACACTTTGCTGAGCCTACATGGCAGACATGAGTGGAAGAAAGGCCATGATTGTCAGAAGGAAGTGCTAGTCTTCTGTGCTGTTTAAAAGAGCAATCCACTGCAGGAACGATAGGAAAGAGGGAACACCATCTCAAGGGAAGCAATATTAACTGAAAAACTTGAAGATGGTCACACTATAAAATCTTCCTGGTTTCTGATAGGTTTTTCCACTTAAGAACTATGATAGAAAACTCCTGTACTATTTGTTATCTTTTTTTCACTTTTCTGAAGTGATGGGGATCAAACCCAAGGCCTCATGCATTTGAGATAAGTACTCTACCACCCAGTTACAACCCAGCCCTATTTGTCCATTCTAAATGTTAGGCAAATCCAGTCAGAAATTATGGAACGCCTACTTTTAAATGGTTAGCTTTACTGCTGGGTGTGGTAGCCCAATTCTGTAATCTCAGCACTCAGGAGACCGAGGCAGGAGAATCAAGAGTTTTAAACCAATTCAAGACACTGATTTACATAAAGAAAAAATGCATTAAGATATGATTCATGTCCAAATGACTCACCCCTTAAAATATACAATTCATATAAGGGGAGAGAAGAGGGCAATAGAAGGGCAACTATATTAACATGCACTGGGGCTGGGAAGATTGTTCAGTCTGTAAAATGCTTGATACACAGGCACGGAGATCTTAGTTTGAACCCCCAGCGTTATATAAAAGCTGACTGCAGGGTTCATCATCCATAATCATGGTACTAAAGGGAAAGGGAAGAGTCAGGCAGTTCTGGCTTCTTTCACTAAGCATAAAGCCCTAAGATTCATGTGTCTGGTACTATCTATTAGTAATTACTTCTTTCTTTCATAAAGTCTATTCTCTTGGGCTGGAAGAATAGCTGGAACAGTGCTTAAGAGCACTTGTTCTTCTAGAGGATCTAAATTAAGTTCCCATCACCCATATGGTGGCTCACAGCTATCTGTAACTCCAGCTCCCAAGTTCCAGAAGATCCAACAGCTTCTTATGACTTCCTTAGGTATACACATGGTGCACATACAAACATGGAGGCAAAACACTCATACAGATAAAACAAATGCAAATGAATTTTAAGTCTATTTTTTTAAGATAGGGTCTCACTATCTTGGCTGTTAAGTCTATATTCTTGCTTTTGATTAATTTCATTATTACTGTGGGGGGGAGTAACACACACATGTATATGAGTACAGGCACACATGTGGAGGACAGAGGAAAGCTTGAAGAACCTCATAGGTTCCAGAGATCAAACTCAAGTCACTAGCTGAACTCAGTGGCCAGGGTTGCATGGAAAATGCTTTTTATCTACTGAGCCATCTTGATGTCCCTAAAGTCTGTTTTGAATGTAACACACATTATTATCAGTCTCACCTTCATGTTTTTGTTTTAATTTGGGTATGGGGGTCTTGGAGGTTGAACCCATGCCAGGCATCATTCTACCACTGAGGGGCCCCCAGTTTTCTATGTATTTGGAATTGAATTGACTTCGATGAATAAAGAAATTAAAGAACTATTTCTTAGGCAGACTAGTAGTCTGAACCTGTAATCTCAGCACTTAAGAAGCTGAGGCAAGAGGATCAACAGTATAGGACACACAGTGAAACTGTCTCAAAACCTCTCCCATACAGGGATTTTAAAAAGTACACTTTATAATGAAGTTACATCAAGTAAAATGTTTAACATGTCAATTAACATCTTAAGTAATTTTTCTTTTTCTCTTATTAAACTTGAAACTGTTTCTTAGACAGCTGAGTAATAAAAACTAAATGTTTTAAAGGAGGAAAAATTATCAGTCCAAGCACTAGGGAAGCTGAGGCAACAGAATCCTGAGTTCTAGGCCAGCATAGGCTACATAGTAAGGGTTTTTTTTTTTTTTTTTCTAAATTGATAAGTAAAATGGGCACGCCTTTAATCCCAGTACTTGGGAGATAGAGCCAGGCAGATCTCTGAGGTCAGTCTAGTCTACAGAGAAAGTTCCAGGACAGTCAGAGCTAAACAGAAAAATCCTGTCTTAAAGAAACAACAACAAGCCAATCGGTGGTGGCACATGCTTTAATCCCATCACTTGAGAGGCAGAGGCAAGAGGATCCCTGTGAGTTTGAGGCCAGCCTGGTCTACAGAAAGGGCCGGGATAGGCTCCAAAGTTACACAGAGAAACCCTGTCTCAAAAAATGAAAACAAACAAACAAAAACAACAACAAATGAATAGATAAGTAAATAATCTTAAAACTACCACAAAGCTAGTGTACTATGAACAGTAGAACTGTGTGTAACTTCTAGCACTTACCCACACTGCTGAGAAACATAGTGAGGTACAGAATCCTAACAGATCTCCATCTACTCTTGTAATGCTCTTGTGTTTCTACCGTGTCCCATTCTCTAGGTGGAAAGAAGAAAAGGGTTAACAGGTTGAGTGTCCCTAATCTCAAAACTCCAAATCCATGTTACAGTAACTGAATGTGAGGATTCTATCATCTGACCTCATTCAATGAATTATAGCAAGAATGCACATGCATTAAGACACTCTGTACCTGCTGGGTGGTGGCAGTGCAAGTCTTTAATCCCAGCACTTTGGAGCCAGAGGCAGGCAAATTTCTGTGAGTTCAAGGCCAGCCTGGTCTACAGAGCTAGCTCCAGGACAGCTAGGGCTGGATACAGAGAAACCCTGTCCCAAAAAACAAAAAAGAAAAAGAACAAAACAAAACTCTACCATCTCTTTCAAGAACTGGAAAATTACAAGCATTTCAGATAATTTACAAGGGCTGTACTCCCTGGTCTTTAGGGGCAGGTATTTATGCATTAATAATTTTACTCTGTCTTCTCTAAAGATATAAAAATTATATAACAGGCATAATTTATTAATATTGGAACCTCTGAATAAGCATTTTAAATTTCACTGGGTTGTAGGACCATAGTAATGCACCATTTGGAAGATATAAGACATCTTTAAGAAGTAAACTATTTTCCAAAGCAATTTACTGTTTTTTTTTCTTTTTTAAGTTTTCATGTTTATATGGTATGCATATAGAGGCCTGATGGTAGATATAGCTAGTCTGGCTATCCAGGTTGCTCTAGGAATCTGTTTCTAAATTCCAATGCTGGAATTACAGTGGCCCATCATACCCATCTGACACTTAACAAGAGTTTCTAGGGATCCAAATTCTAGTCCTCTTGATCGCTCAGCAAGCATTTTAGCCACTGAGCTATTTTCCCCAGCTCTACTTTTCTATTGCTGAATTCAATAGAAACTTGTTAATCTAACAGGATGAATGAATACATTTTCCTAAGAAAAGTTACATAAACTAGCTACAAGAAACATCTCCCACAAATGATATATATTAAAAATTAATTACCAGGGATGGTAAGATGCGAAAAGGTCCCTCCCTAATAACCTGAATTCCCTCCCTAGGACCCACATGGTGGAGAGAACTGACTCCCCCAAATTGTTGACTACCCTTTACAGGTATACCATGGCACACATGTCTGCACACAAACAAAAATGAATGAATAAATACAATAAAGGTAGATTTGTTTTCAGTAATTACTCTGGTATTTCTGGAATGTCCTACTTGTAGCACCATATTACCTTTGCTGTGAGCTGTTCTGACTGGAATGATGTCACCTAAGACAGTCCCAGCCTGGAGCTTCCTGGGCCACTGACCTTTGCTCTGACATGAATTGCCAAATAAATTCTACTTGTAGACTAAAGAGCTTATGATGATAGAGCAGACTAGTTTCATGTTCTGGATAATTATAATCTGTACTAAAAGCAAATATATCAGTTAATATCTTGTTTGGTGATACCTGAGTGTTTATGCTCATTAAGTGCTCACAAAGGTGCCAGAGTTGGCAACTTATCTTATGTGAGCACTACTTTTCCAAAAAGCAAGACACACTTAACAGACAAAATGCCTACTTATGTTCCAAGAGTATTATCTTTTGGAGAAAGGGTTTGGTTGATTTGTTGTTGCTGCTGCCATTGTTTTGTTGGAATAAAGTCTTTCTATGTAGCCCAGGCTGGTCCCAGAGTCTAAAATCCCCCTGCTTCAGTAAAGTTCTGTACCACAAAATCTGTGGCCCAACACTTATTTTATAAAATAGACCTTGATGTTGTCAAATTTAATCACCAGTGAAGAAGCTTTCTTTCTTCAAATGTGCTATTTATAAATGGCAGAAAGGGAAGAAGAGAAACATTTTAGATCTACTGTTTGCCAAGGATATTCATTACATATACATATATATATTTATATTATTATATTTATTACTTTAATATATATATATGTGTGTGTGTGTGTGTGTGTGTGTGTGTGTGTGTGTGTGTGTGTAGTTATGGTTGATAATTAAAGTGTTACGGTATGCATGTGGAGGTCAGAGGATAAACTGGGAGTTAGTTCTCTCTTTCTGCCCTGTGGATCCAAGGATCAAAGTTAAGGTCATCAAGTTCAGAAGCAAGCTCCCTCACTCACTAAGCCATCTCTCCAGCCCCCAGGACTCATATATTTTAAGTCATTAAAACACTGCATATATAATATTGTGAGCTATACACAGAGACCTTTTAATTGTGATATAAAATACCTGAAAAATGCTAGCACTTAAGATGGCTGTATTACAAAATCAATATACCTAAATTAAATGTATACCACTGCAATTAACCACATACTGGGAAAAGTATGGATCATTGAATCCCAGAGTATGGTCTTTCATATCAATTTAATGCTTAGTAGTATACTTTCAGGTACCCATTACTATTCTATGGAGATTAGAAATTAAACACATTATCACTTTACAAGAAGGATCAGGACAATTTACATTTCCAAGTAACTGTTTCCCTAAGCTCTTTCTCAGCTGGGGAACTGAGAAGTAAATTATTTATGTGAAGAAAGGTAATAAAAAAAAAAAAAGCTCGAGTGACTCTAACCTGACTGGAAGCTCAGTTAAAGGAAAAATAAAACTTTCCTAGCCTAAAGCAGTTACAAATTCAAGGCCAACCTTGGCTATGTAGTGACTGTAGGACAACCTAGGCTACAAAGTAAGAACCTGTCTCTAAAAGAAAACAAAACAAACTTTTTTGCCAGGCCTATAATCCTAGCACTCAAGAAGCTAAGGCAAAACAGGTGTGGTGGGTTAAGCCTCAATGTCTCAGCACTAAGCAGGAGGATCAGGAGTTTGAGGTCATCTTGGGCTGCATAGTGACCTCAAGGCCAGCCTGGGCTCCAAAACTGTCTGAAAAACAAAAACAAACAAACAAACAAACAAAAAATGGGGAAGGTGCTCAACATCAGCCTGGGATATATAGCAAAATTCTGCCTCTATTTTTTTAATGAAATTTTCTTCACTTTTTAAATTTGCCTTTTATTTTATATGCATGGGTGTTTTTGCTTTTGGGGTTTGTTTGGTTTTTTTAAGGATTTATTTAGTTACTATGTATACAGTATTCTGTCTACATGTATGCCTGCAGGCCAGAAGAGGGCACAAGATCTCATTACAGATGGTTGTTAGCCACCATGTGGTTCCTGGGAATTGAGCTCAGGACCTCTGGAAGAGCAGCCAGCACTCTCTACCTCTGAGCCATTGTTCCAGCGCATCCATGGTGTTTTGCTTGTATGTATGTCTGTGCTCTGCACCAAATATATGCAATGCCCACAGAGGCCAGAAGAGGGTGACAGATCCCCTGGAAACAGTGTTACAGTTGGTTATGAGCTGCCATATGGATGCTAGGAACCAAATCTGGGTCTTCTGTAAAAGTAACAAGGGCTCATAACTGCTAAGCAATCTCTACAGCTCCTAACTGTCTTCTTATAATAAAATCTCTTAAAAACTGAACGGATGAGAAATTTAAAGTTAGGATTTAGTGGTTATCTTCTATATAATGGATGAAAACAAAAATGTTCAAATTTTGGTTGAAGGGCTGTTTAAGGGCAGGAAAACCCCCATTGTCTAAATTCAAATCACAGAACAAGAAACTCACTTTGATAATGAAAGCTCCAGTGTCCATTCTTCTAACAAATGATGGAGTATGCATTCCCGTTCATTGGGGCCTGGCAGCCTGCACTTCTGATGGAATGAATTAGCATTCCTCAATATTACTCATGTGACAGTCTTGTAACCAAGAGAGAAACAGTTCACTAATCCAGATTGTGAGAAAGCCCTTAGGAACACTGACCTAAATCTAACAGTCAGTTGTCACATGAGCAAAAATAGGTCCAGTGACAGTTTGTTGTGTTTTGTTTTGTGATACAGGATCTCTCTGTGTAGCCCTGGCTGTCCTGGAATTCACTATGTTGACCAGGCTGGTGTCAAATTTACAGAGATTAACCTGCCTCTGCCTTCCAAGTGCTGGGACAGTTCTAAGCTAAACAGTTTAAAACAGGATAGAACCAACCAACATACAAGCAATGACTGTCTTGTATATATAAAGTGTGTTTGTGTGTGTGCATATGTGTATTTGTTTATTACATTATTGGAACAACTAGAGAAACAAGGAATACAGAGCATAAATTGTATAATACTCGTAGTGGTATTTCTTTGTTGTATTGGTGTTTCTAGTGGTATAATAATGATGGAATTATATAAGGGATATATTTTTTCTTGGGAGAGGCTGGCTTTAAAAACATACTTGGAATAAGCAAAGCATTACAATGTCTGAAACTTCAGTTTGGCAAAAGGTGTGTGTGTGTCTGTGTAAAGACTAAATGAAAAGGTATTAGGTGTTCACTACATTGTTATTTCAACTTTTCCATGTATTTGAAATCTTTCAAAGTATTCAAAGTAACAGATTTTATTTTGCTTGTTTTAATTTAGAAAACTAACCAGTCATTTATCTTCCTATTTTGTCATAGTAGGAACAGTAGAATGGGGCTGTTCTTCAGTCACTTTTCTACATTTATCTTTTTAATTATTGATGACACAAACATGTCAGACAGCTGAGACTGATTTACACAGGTTTCTGCTTTGCCGGGATGTAAGAGGAAAATACTGCAGCTGGATGTGCTGGTGCTCACCTTTAATCTCAAATCACCTTAATTTGAGGAAACTCTAAGGTAGGACGAGCAAACTATCAATCTCACCTTTAATCTCAGTACTCAGCTGGCAGAGGCAGGAGGACCTCTGAGTTTGAGGTCAGCCTAGTCTACAGAGCATGTTCCAGGACAACCAGGGCTACACAGTGAGACCCTGTCTGAAACAAACAAACAAAAACCAAAAGAAACAAGCAAAAGAAATGATGTACCTACTTCCAAAGGGATTTGTTTAACTTTTACTTTCTGTCTACTATCACTGCTACATTCTGGCATTAATTTTCCAACTGGAATTTTCTTCTAAGTGAAACTGCAGTGGTCTAACATTTCCAAAAATCACAGCTCCAAATGACAGGATGTTTAACAAAATTTTAACTTGAAATCCAGAAAGAGTTCACAATACACTGGTATGAACTGATCACTTAGGTAAACCTGAATAGGAATAAACACAAAATGCTACATTTTGGATTCAGTGTATTTTCTTGCACAGAGACTGGGGCAAAGAGGCACTACACTGGTCAAAGTCCAGCTTTATTACTGAAGCAAAGACCACCTAGACTCAGAGCTAAAGAGAAAGCAGTGCTGTGTAGCACTGGAGAAATGTAACAAATGAAATGTCCTATAAATGAGTGCACTGTAAGACAAGCACATTATCACTTGCTGGATATTGTTTCTGCATTATTTGAAAGGGACAGCAGGAAGACCCTAAATCCAAGGCCATCCTCTACCACAGAGTGACTTGTAAGCCAGCCTGAGCTCCAGTTTGTAAGAAACAAAAAGGACCTAAGACAATTACATCAATAAATTATAATGAATCAATCTTGTTAGCTAGGAAGGGCTGTTAGATAACTAAATTGAAGTTTGTGCAGTAAAGTCTATTGCAACAGACTAAAACTGCAATAAGAATTTGAAGTTCCTGGAGTATTTGAGGAAACTCTAAGGTAGGACTAGCAAACTATCAATCTGCAGGTCAAATCTAGACACCATCTAACTGTAGCTTGAGAGCCAAGACTAGTTTTTCAGGTGACTATTTGTTACCAATTTGATGACAGAACACTAACTTCAAGTGCAATCAATTCTCTCATCAACAGACCAACCTACCTCACTTATTATGATTGTAGATTGTCTCTTGTTGTCTAAGTATCTACACTGTCCTTGACTTTGCCTTTGGGCCTGAACAAACCTAAACTATCTACTAATGTGGCCATTCAGAAAGTGTGCCAACTCTTTTTCTCTTAAATGAAACTCTTAAAGTAGGTCAGTTGGAAGCACTAGACACTCAAGAAAAAAAAAAAGGACCTACGCCAACTAAATCAATAAATCATAAATCAATCAATCTTGTTAGCCAGGAAGAGCTATTAGATAACTAAATTGAAGTTTGTGCAGTGCATTAAAAGAAAAACGTATCAGTCATAATTAGGGAACCAAATTAGGATTTTAAAGACTGTTGACTTGTTCTGAAAATATTTCCTTTTCTTTTTAAAATGCTAAATATAAAACCTCAATCTAATGAACTTTCTATGAACAGTGACATCTGAATGTAGATGGATCCTAACAAAATCACTTATTTAAAAGAAAGCTAAAAGTCGGAGAATTGCCGGGCGTTGGTGGCGCACGCTTTTAATCCCAGCACTGGGGAGGCAGAGGCAGGCGGATCTCTATGAGTTCGAGGCCAGCCTGGTCTCCAGAGCGAGTGCCAGGATAGACTCCAAAGCTACACAGAGAAACCCTGTCTCGAAAAACCAAAAAAAAAAAAAAAAGTAGGAGAATTTTTTTTAAAAATAGGCTTGTTTTGATAAGGTCACAGAATGTACAAAACAAAAACAAAAAACAACATAAAATTGCATTGCATATACTCTACTTAGTAAATCAAAGACCATGGGGTTTCAATGTTGTCAAAATAAAGGACTCATGTTGAAGATAGATAAACGAGAAAAAATAAGATTTAGCCTGAGGCTTAACTGTCCATTTAAAAAACCTACTTAATAGAGTTACTATGTTTTGCTTGATGTGGTGGCACACATCCCGGTAATTCCAGCAGTTTCGAGGTAATACCAGGAGGGTCAGGAATTCAAATCATACTTGACTATATACTGAGGTTGAGGCCAGTCTGGGTTTCGGGGACCCTGTCTCAAAATATAATGCAAAAAGTGGTGGAGATAGTTCAGTGGGTCAGGGTGCTTGCCCCCAAGCCTAAGGAGCTGCGGTGTGTCCCTAGGGCAGAGGGAGCTCTAGACACGTCCCACATGGCAAAGAGAACCCAGTACCAAAGTTGTCTACTCAGACCATACCACGTGCCACCTCCCTCCACGCCCCCAAAATAAATGTGATTTTAAAAACCCACTATTCTTCAAATAAAAAAATTAATAAAATAACAATACTGTTACCTAAAGGTAAAAATACATACTGGTGCAGTGAGACAAGTCCAAACTTTTCTAAATCAGAGCTCATAAATTAGGATCAAAATACTAATGGAACGCTTAAAGAGTAATCTTTATTTTGCACCTGTGGCTTTAAGCAAAAGATGAGCCATTTTTAAATGGGTTTATTTGCAAAGTATCAAGACTTTACCAAGCAAGCCATCAGGCAGGTCAGGAAAAGGTCAATGCCCTCGAGTGCTGGTTAAAACCATCATTTCGGGGCTTTTGCGAAATGTGGACAGTGGTCAGCTACAGAGGGTCAACAGAATGCAGCTGTAAAAGAGGCAGCTAGGTTCTTTTATACAAAACTAAGGAAAAATCGAATGTGGAGGAGAAAACGAAGCTCTCACGCAGGAAGAAACTCCCAAAACAGGACTCAGGCCGGAGCCTCAAGGCTACCCGGTTCTAGAGTCCACACCGGCTACAATGAGAAGCTGCTGTGACCTCTGGCCCCTTCCGCAGCGACCTGGGTACCCAAGTTCTCCAGGTACCAAACTTGGTACCCGGGTGAGGATTCTCCACTATTCCCAAGTAAACGCGATTATCCGGGAGCCTGTCCTGAGCGGGTCCGGGGACGGCCGCCGGGCCCATGCGTGAGCGACCGGATTTCGGGCCAGGGCGGTGGACACGCAGAACCTAGCCAGTCCCACCCGCCTGCTCACCTGCTTCCGGGCGAGCCGGGGCCCAGGAGAGGCTCCCGCTCGTCCTCGCTTCCCAGGCTCGCCATAATGACAGCCCTCACTAGGAGGCGCGCCGCCAACTCTCGCGACACCGGCTCCTCCTCGGCCTGAGCTGTCAAAACACGCCTACGACGGCGCGTGCGCGCCGAGGAGACGGAAGCGGACCGGGTGTCTAGGGGAAGTGTGAGGCTGGGGCCTCGCGGGAGGCGGGGGTGTTGGTTCTGGTGAAGGAGGCCGGAAGGGGCGTGGCGAGCCAGCACCGCCTTCTCGGGGCGTGTCCTGAGGGAGCCCCGCCCCGCGTTCGTCCTCCTTGCCCGCAAGGCTGGCAGCGATCCTGAGTCTTGATAGCTGAGGACCTTCAGCTCTTTGCCTTCCGAGGTGAGGCGAAAGTCCGGTCCCTAGAGCGCGGAGAGCGGCGGTGCCAGGAGGCTCGGTGGGCTCCCCTTCAAGTGTACGTCTGTGAGCGGCCTGTAAGTAGCAGCCTGTGCGCTCCTGCCTTCTGCTGCGTACGTGCAGGGCGGCATGAGCACAGCCGGGTCCTGGTCCGAGGGAGGGCGTTGGCGACCCCGACCCTCCAGCGCTGCTTGGCCCTTGGCTCCTCACCTGAGGGATCTGAGGGACCGAGTTGAGATGGCAGCCAACCGCTGCTGCCTCGCTGGCTCCTCAGGACTGAGGGACGCGACTGAGGTGGTAGCCAGATGCTGCTGCTTTGCTGGTTTCCGGACCCCCGAGCTTCAGCTTTGTAAATATCCCTTCACCAGAGCCTGCTTAGGTCCAATTGGCTACTTTGATCATCAGGAGCAAGAATGTTCACCAGACTCAAATAATGTTCACTTCCTTGTCGCTGCATATTGTTATGTCCCTGCCATTGCGCTTGTCAGCTAATAGGTGCCAGAAATCATCGTTTCTCAACTCTTTGCTAGCTTAGCTGTAGAAAACATTGTCATATGATTTCATTGGATCACATCTGTCCTAGGAGATGTGTAAAGCAGACACATTTCTACTTTACCATGACCTGAAGTCGAGGTAAGTTATCTGGAATCTCAGTGGGAAGGTGGCAGAGTTGGGACCCAGACTCAGTGTTTAAATAGTCCACAAAAAAAACAATTAGTATCAGCGTTTAGCATTTGTCCTGCCTCATGTGAGCTCTCTGTTGTGTGGCGTTGTCATCACCTCACCTCTGATCTTTCATTTGTGATCATCTCCTATAGTCAACGTTGTACCCCACTAGAGCACACCAAAACTTGAAATGTGTCTTCTGTTATCTTCTGAATCCAGCTCTGATTAAGTCGTGCAGATTCATTTATTGTAACAAAAACATGCAGATTCTTCTGATTGGTTTCAAGAATATAGATGGGTAATGAAGTATTTTCCATGATATTGCTTCCTGTGTCATAGTTATATTTTCTAATCCTGGAGGCTGCACAATTTTCGGCGCATATATAGTGGAAGAAGAAAATTTTAACTAGCATTCCACCAAGCAGAATGTGGTGTGTGTGTTGAAAGAATGCTTATTCAGTTCCCTCATTTCATCCCTACAATAATTTTCTAAAGAGGAGAGGGATTGTCTCAAGTAAGTAGATGAACAAGTAAAAGGCAGAGGACATAGTAAATTGCTGAGGGTTGCACAACTAACCAACAATGGCTTAAATTAAAAAAACAAAACAAAACAACAAAAAAAAACGGGGCTCCTCTGACAGTAAAACCTGTGCTGTTTACCTCCAGGTTCCCTGTAAACAGAATACCAGTAAGAATATCTTCTCATATTTCTTAATATCAAAACATTCATTGTTTACCCAGTTGAAATAATGTGTTATGTATCAGCCCAAGTGTAGCTTCCTACGTACAGGTTGAGGTAGTTCACTCAAGGTCACACAACTAGTGGAGAAACTTAGCTCTTTCCACTACTGCCTCCAAGTGATGACTTCAGACCACAAAAACGCATGCAGTGAGTACATAAACAACTCCTGAAATCTAAATAGACTCTTATTTCTCAGAAGCATAAATAGCAATCAAAGCAAATGTGGGGAGGATAACTGTGGTGTTTTTTTTTAAATAGTCCACAAAAAAGAGGAGCAAAAGTTGAAGAGATGCAATAAATCTCTTGCTGATCTCAAAGATGTGGGACTTGTTGTGTATTCTTTTCTTTTTTGGTGATGTTAGGGATTGAACTAAACCTTGCAAATGCTCTACAGGAAAGTTAACAACTGAACTATATAACCAAACCCTGGTTGTTGTTGTTTTATTTTGTTTTTTTATTATCAGAATAGTTACATCTTTCCCAAATAATTACTTTTCTACAGTGTAAGAGTAGTTAAATTGGTTCCCGAAGAGTAGTGGATTTTAACAGAGTTGATATTTTTGTGATTTAAAGGTGTGAAATTGGGGGCTGAGAGATGACTTAGAGGTTAAAAGCACTTGTTGCTCTTGCAGAGGATCAGAATTTGACTCCCAGCATCCACATGTTAACTAACAATCATCCAGTTCTAAGGGATCTGATGTCCTCTTTAGAACTCAACAGACACTAGGCACATACATGGTACACATACATTCATGCAGGCAATTTTAAAAAAATATGAAATTAAAATTAGGTCTCTTTGGATGGCAAGAAGGAAGTTATTGTACATGGTAGATTAAAATTAGTACATTTTAAATTTTTGTGTGCAGGTGCACATGTGCTACAGAATATGTGAGACAGAAGACAGCTTGCAGAAATGGGTTTCTCTCCATGGTGACATTTTTTTGAAATTGTACTTATGCCTTTGAGATACACATGATAAAAGTCTAGGAAGAAAAAGTAATATTTGTTTAAGTACTTAGATATCAGAGTAATGAGAGATTAAAAAGTACTAGATGGAGTAATATTAATAGATGTCAGTGCCACATTAGCAAGAAAATTCATTTCTAGGAAAGACATTTCATTCCTTGGCACTGTGACTGTACTTCTATTTTTGTTCCACTTTGTTTTCCCCCTTCCTACTTGCTATTTAAAAATGTAGGTGGCAGTAGTGTTCCTTTCCCTTTTACTTGATATTTACTTCATAAATAGCTGCTATTTCCACAGGATATCAATGGTGTCTTGCTTGACCTGAGGGCTTTTAATACCTGGAACAGCTCCAGATGTCACTTCCTTATGGTGAATTGGTGTTGTCTTTATCCCATTTAGAAAATCCATAGTTCTGGAGCTCCTGAACATGGCCAGCCCTGCCTAGAAAGATCTGTTTTTAGAGGCTAGAGAGATGGCTCAGTGGGTAAGAGCACTTTCTACAAAACAGGTGGATCTTAGTTGAAGTCCCCATCGCTTGAAAAAGGCTGGGCATTGCTGCATTTGTCTGTAACCCTACTACTATCTGAGCGATGGAAACAAGGATTGCTAGGGCTTGCTGGCTACCAGCCCTAGCTCTGGGTTCAGTGAGCAACCTGGTCTCAAGACAGAGATACAGAAAAACACCCAATGTCCTCTGACTTACTGCACCTCCACTGGCATGTTACCCTGCACACATGCACACACACAATCACACCAAAAGAAAAAGAACTATCATTTAGAGATTCAGAAAAGCCTTCATTTTATATTGTTTTGGGACTGAAATGTTATTTAAGAAGACCTGTATAATACCAAGTTTCAATACCAAATACATAATAAACTGTGTGTGTTTGATTTGTTTTCTGTTCCTCATCTGTGAATTGCTTGCACAATTCACAGATTTGAATATAGCAAGGAAATAAATGGTCTATTACATAGGAAAGCAAGTGATTTAGGCAAGTTTTCTAGTGGACAGTTGAAAAGCAGAAAGGACTGAACAATTTGATATATAATGAATATTGTTCATTACAAAATATTTGAAAGTTTATTGTTAAGTACTTTGCCACACATGCAGAAATTGTTGTAATTTTTTTAAAGTGTATGGGCATGTTGGGGCACGTTGGCTTTCGCCTTTAATCCCAGCACTCATGGGCCAGAGACAGATGTCGGTGAAATTTGAGGACAGGCAGGCTTATATAGAGAGACCTTATCTCAAAAAAACAAAAATAAAATAGAAGTGAAATACCTCTTGAATAGCATACTGTTTCTTGTTGGAGAATATTTGGTTTTTGTTTTCTTACTTATATGGAATTGACTTAGTGTCATGATGCATGGATATTCCAAAGGAGAGTGTTGACCCTAGTGTACAATACTAGAAAAAGACAGGACCTGTATTACAGTGGCATACAACTGTTCTGCACCTTCATAAATATATACAAAAATATGAGTAACGAGCATACAAATCAATACAGAAAGATTCAAGTAGTAATATAATTTAAATCATTGTTACCTGTTGTCTGTATGACAAAGTACCTAGAGCCAGGTGGTGGTGGCGCACTCCTTTAATCCCAGCACTCGGGAGGCAGAGGCAGGCGGATCTCTGTGAGTTCGAGACCAGCCTGGTCTACAAGAGCTAGTTCCAGGACAGCCTCCAAAGCCACAGGGAAACCCTGTCTCGAAAAAAAAACAAAAAAAAAACAGCCTAAGCTGAGAAGTTTTATTTATTTTTTTAAGATTTTATTTAATTATTTATTATGTATTCTGCTTCCATGAATATCTGCACACCAGAAGAGGGCACCAGATCTCATAATGGATGGTTGTGAGCCACCATGTGGTTGCTGGAAATTGAACTCAGGACCTCTGGAAGAGCAGTCAGTGCTCTTAACCTCTGAGCCGTCTCTCCAGCCCCAAAGTGTTTTATTTTCTATTGCTATGAAGACACCATTGCCAAAGTAACTTCTAGAAGAGTTTATTTGGGGCTTAGTTTCTGAGGTTGTGCCAATGATCATTGTAATAAGAACATGGCAACAGGCAGGCATGGTGCTAGAGCAGTAGTTAAGAGCTTATATCTTCTAAAACTGCAGTTGGACAAGAGGCATGGACTCTGTGATGTCTTGAGGTCTACTAAGAGCATGATAAATATGGTTGATAACAATATGCTATATTTTAAGTGTTCTCAAAACAAAAATGATGAATGTGTGTGATATAACATGTTAATTGGTTTAATTTAGCCATGCCATTTGTGAACATACTGTATTATGTATCATAATTGTGCATGACTATATTTATGAGCTAAATAAATGAATGGAAAAAAATTAAAAAAATAACTGGAACCTATGGAATTAAAATAGAAGTATCACACATAAAAAAAAGTTTATATCTTCATCTACAAGCACGAGGCAGAGAGAACTAATGGGGAATGGTAGAGCTTTTAGAATCTCAAAGCCTACCCTCAATGACACCTACAACAAAGCCTCCTAATCCTTCCCAAACAGTTCCACCAACTAGGGTCCAAGTATTAAAATGCATGAGCTATGGGGGTCATTCTTATTCAAACCACCATAAAAAGTGTATTTTTGGCTTATGGGTTAATGTGGCCACTTTACTTTTAGGCCAGTGGCAAGGAAGAACATCATGATATGGAACATGGGGCAGAGAAGCTCCTTTCCAGTCATGAACTGGAAAAGAGGGAGATAAAAGAACATAGAGAATGGGAGTGGGCAGGCTCTTTATATACCTCAAGCATACATACCCAGGAACTAAATCACCTCACAAGGTTCTTCTACCCTGTAAGCTGAGCACCACATAACAATAACTGTTCACCATTTAGAATTATATTTTCTTAAGCTGTATCTCCATCCCACCTGATTTATCCAGAGCTGACCTGATTGGGAATATGTAAAGTATTTGTATACACATGCTGTGCTCTGCAAGTGGATGCCAGAGGACAACTTACAGAAGTCAGCTCTCTCCTTCCAATCATGTGGGTCCTAGAGAATCAAAGAGGTATATCAGGCATAGTGGCTTATACTTACTGAGCCTTCTCACCAACCCTAGATTTTTGTTAATTGAGGAAAGAGTACACTGGCTGTTCCGTTTCCAATTTAGTGCACCTATAATAGTTACAATCCATTTTGTGCAAACTCCCCAAATTAAGGGTTTGGGTTCACAGATGCCACTGCCCTAGATGCCAATCTTACCTTAGGGGTTTCTAGGCTTCCAGAAAGATAACTTCTAACTTGGCTATTAGAAAAGTTTCTTGTGGATCAATAATTTGCTAGAATGACTGACATAACTCTGGAAAACCCATTAAAGTATATATACAACACAAAAACAGCCAAAAATGTTGAGATACCATGGTCTCTATGTATGGATCAGAGAGAATTTCCAGCCAGACCTCAAGGTATCTGTCCTGCCAGGTGGTGGTAGAGCACGCCTGTAATCCCAGCACTCGGGAGGCAGAGGCAGAGGCGGATCTCTGTGAGTTTGAAGCCACCCTGGTCTACAAAGTAAGTGCCAGGACAGCCAGAGCTGTTACACAGAGAAACCCTTCCCCCCAAAAGGGGGAAGATATCTGTCCAACAGTGCCACTAAAGCCAGTATCTAGAATTTGTATTGGGTTTATATTACTATGTGGCCCAGTGATAGAACATAATAATGTCCAGTTCCCTTCTTCTGTGGAGGTCAAGCCCACCTAAAGTTCCAACCTTTTTTTTTTTTTAAGATTTATTTGTTTATTTATTATGTATACAGCCTTTTGCCTGCATGTATTCCTGCACACCAGAAGAGGGCACAAGATCTCATTATAGATGGTTATAAACCACCATGTGGTGGTTGCTGGGAGTTGAACCCAGGACCTCTGGAAGTGCTCTTAACCTCTGAGCCATCTCTCCAGCCCAAGTTCCAACCTTCTTTTTTTTAAAAAAAAGATTTATTTATTTTGTGTGTAGTGTTCCACCTGCATGTATGCCTGCACGCCAGAAGAGGGCACCAAATCTCATTACAGATGGTCATGAGCCACCATGTGGTTGCTGGGAATTGAACTCAGTACTTTTGGAAGAGCAGGCAGTGCTCTTAACCACTGAGACATATCTCCAGCCTGTTTTTTTTTTTTTTTTTTTTTTGTTGTTGTTGTTGTTTTTTGTTTTTGTTTTTGTTTTTCGAGACAGGATTTCTCTGTGTAGCTTTGGAACCTATCCTGGCACTTCCTCTGGAGACCAGGCTGGCCTCGAACTCACAGAGATCCGCCTGCCTCTACCTCCCGAGTACTGGGATTAAAGGCATGCGCTACCAACGCCTGGCTCAAGTTCCAACCTTCAAATTATGTGCTTTATCTTTCTGATGACCTGAAACTATTTGCATGCTCACTATGAGTCACCTCATTAGCATAATAGTTATAACTCAGGAAATTCTAAAGGTTTTAGGAGCAAGAACCCTGGGAAGAACTGGGATCTTACAGAATCCAAGACCTGTACAACCTCAATATACACCAACAGCTTCTCAGGTACTTTTTTTTTTAAGATAAGGTCTTATTAGTAGCCCAAGTTGGCCTCATGACCATCTTGTTTCAGCCTATAAGTGGTAGTATTATAGACAGCTGTCACTACAACTTGCTAGATACTTTTTTGGTTGTTGGTTGATGCTGGGAATGGAACCCAAATGTTTTTTTGTATACCAGAAAAGCTCTGTACTAAGATATATCTCCGCTTTATTAGATAACAGTGACATTTACTCTCTCTCTCTCTCTCTCTCTCTCTCTCTCTCTCTCTCTCTCTCTTTGGTTTTTCAAGACAGGGTTTCTCAATGTAGCTTTTGAGTCTATCCTGGAACCCGATCTGTAGACCAGGCTAGCCTGGAAATCCCAGAAATCTGTCTGCCTCTGTTTCCCGAGTGCTGGTATTAAAGGCATGCACCACCACTGCCTGGCTTTTTTTCCCCCCTGACATTTATTCTTAATGAAAAAATAAGCAATTTAAACACACACACACACACACACACACACACACACACACACACTCTCTCTCTCTCTCTCTCTCTCTTTCTCTCTCTCTCTCTCTGCATGTGTGTATACTTACATGATTTTAATAATTGTTTTAAAGTAGAATATATATACTTACATGATTTTAATACTTGTTTTTAAAGTAGAGTATGTATATAATGTAGACAGTATTTAAGAAGCCACTTTTCCAGTTACATGCGTTGGTACATGCATGTGGTTCCTGCACTTGGGAGGTAGAGGTAGGTGGATCAGGAGTTCAAGGTCATCCGTGGCTACAAGTTGATTTGAAATCAGCCTGAATTATATGAGATCCTGTTTCAAAAAGAAAACCATAAAAGCCAATTTCCATTTACCATTTGTTTGACTTTTAAAAAAAAAAACCAAATTACTAATTGGCATTTTCCTTTGGAGGTTTTTTTTATTTTTTTAAAGTAAGAGTTTTAAGTGAATGGAAGAATATAAACATGATTTAAACTGTAAAGAGCCAATTGGCTTATAAACAAGTGGTTGCTCAGGTCTATGGAGATTGTGGTTTTTAGTAGGGTTTTTTCCCCTATTGGTAGAAATATGAGGATCTGATCCTAATATTTAAGTATAAACCCAAACATATTTCAAAGGTTGAGAAGTAACAGGTTCTTCTTCCTGTGTAACAGTTTCCAAGGTAGTCCTTAAGATCATTGCTTTTTGTTGCTCACAGTGTTGAGTTTGGGCAGGACCCATGATTTTTACCTTCTAACCAACAGGAAATGGAAACTTTGATTGCACTCACACACTTGCCCTTTCTTCAGTGGTATTGGACACTCAGGGCTCTTTCTCTCTCTCCAACTGGCCATGAAGAAAAGAAGTCAGCTGCTGTTTCTGACTTCTATGGAGAGAGCAAAGTCAGTGTGAGATGAAGAACTGTGTAGATGGCCTCCCAGAGCTGAGCTTGTCTTCTGGCTGACAAAGGACAAAATATGAATAAATCCTATAGTTGCAAATATATAAATTGTACCCCAAACCTAAGAGCCTGAAAGCAAATTCTTCTCCTTGAAGCTTCTAGATGAAAATTTCATCCAGCCGACGTTTGATTGAAGTAGACGAGGCCCTGAAGTAGAGAACCCAACTAGATGGGTTATTGCAAACTAATCCTGGAGGAAAAGGCAAATGAGAAGATTGAGAAGAGGAAAAATAGACTTGGAGATGTGTTCTTCAGTTCTTTCTTAAGGTCTTGGGGAAGCTGTTCCTGGTGGCTTGGGCCTGTAATCCCACCTCCACAGGAAGCTGAGACATAAGTATGTCAAGTTCCAGGTCAACTAGAGCAATTTAGTGAAACCTTAAAATGAAAAATAACTAAAAGGCTGGGAATACAGCTCAGAGGTAGCCTTTGGCCTAGTAAGAGTAGTGTGAGTAAGACCCTAGGCCCACCCTAACCTCCCACCCCCAAAATAGGTCTAAGTGAAGCTTTCAGGTATTTAAATTATGGCCCTTTTTGAAGAGTGTCATACTTCTGAACACCGAGCTAAGATAACTATGATAATTATAGTAGCTGTCAAGAGGAAAAGCATCAGTTTAGTTGTAAATTCTGTAAGGACACTGTCCCCCTAAAGTAGCTGGCTAGTGTATGGTACTCCCACAACTGTCCCTGCTTTATTTTCTTTCTTCCCATGCTCAAAGTCAGATACCTTCAGCTCCTTTCCACATAGCGCATAGTAAGGTAATTGTGCACCGCTCTTCCAGCTCGACTGTTAGGGACAGATCTTAAAGATGGTTTGGGACAGATTTTACACATGGGAAAAGGACCATTCTTGTTTGCCTCCAGATGGAGAGTGTGCTTCCCCAGGGCTTGTCAAGCCCATGGGAGGACCTTCGTTAACTTACATGGGCAAATGCGCATGAAAGTGGTTCAAATTTACAACAGGGAGGAAGGCGTGCAGAGGAGGAAGAAAGAGTCTGGATTTTTCTACGATGGTGTGTAGAGGCTGCTGAGCAGTGGGAGTGAAGCCATACCCCTTAGGATGCCATACCGAGCAGAAAGCCTCCTAAAAATCCTCCAGTCACTAAAACATTCTTCTTTACAAAGGACACCAACTCCTCGGCTTTGCTCTTGACCTCGTTTGGTATTTGGGCGCTCTTCCGAATCTTCAGTTGCTCCTTGGCCTTTTTCATGTCCTTCTCTAGTCGATTCCAGTCAACTTTGATGTAGCCAGTATGATTTGCAAGCTGAAGGAGAAAAAAGCCCCCTCCCACAGCTGTGGCAGCCAGCTTCCCAACTTTCTGGAATATGAAGCCAGTGCACCAGCCAGTGACACCGCCGATCAGGAGCTGGGTTGCCACGCTGTACTTGTCACCTGAAGGCCTCGTCTCGTGCCCGAAGAGCTTTCGCCACCAAGGCTGTTTTTTGGCAAATTCTGTAAGATCCAGTGCCTCATATGTGTCAAAGGGCCCTTGACTGGTTGTGGCCATCCCCGTGAGCTGATTGTGAGAGGAAAAGCGCAGAGTGTCAGCAGGCCAGGAGATGGAGCGTACCGCGGTTACGGTGGTAGTAGTCGTTGTCATGGCCAGCGGGTTTTGTGCACGTGGGCAGGTGTATCCATTCCCACGGCCGCGGCAAAAGAGGGCAGGTGGAGCGCGCGCATCAGCTTTCCCTCAGCCCCAGCTACGTCACAAAAGCACCTTGACCTTTATCCAGTACGTAAATTGAGTGTCCTAAGGGTAGTAAAAGTCTAAAACTCAACTGTTGTTTATATTCATAAGACTGGAAAAGTAAAGTATATTATAAATACTAGTTGGAAGATTTGGTGGGTTTTGCTAAAGAAAATGGATTTCAATTGAATACTCATGCTAAAGCAAGAGATTTGTTACTAAGTGCAACAAGTTTACAAAAGTATAACTTTGTTTTATACATTCATCAAGAAGCTTTTTACAGGAAATTCAATGAATGATTTCACATTAGAAGTGTGGTTTCTTTGCATTTTAATAGCAGAGACACTCTCCAGGAAGTGAATTTACTTGGGACTATGCAGGTGATTACAACCCAGGATATGTATATTGTGACAGATACATCTGAGACTGAGACAAGTTAAAACGTTTAAGGCAAAAAGAAATGCATATAGATTGTGCTGAAACAAAAATTCGTTGGTGACAGAGGCTGGCTGCACAGTGTTTCTTGTGTTGTTTGCTTGGAAGAGGGTCTTCACAGAAGTGATCCTGATTGCAAGACTGTGGTTTAGACAATTGCAACTATACATCTAGTACTGTCTATTACTGGAAGATGTTCATAGAAGTAGGTTTAATGTAGAGCTGTGGGCCTGACTGTTTTTTGTGATAGCCTAAGGAGTAACAATATCTAGTAAATATTTGATTGTGAGAATTGTGAGACAGTATGAACAACTTGCTTTGCTGGTCTAGTCCTAAGAAGGTTAAATACCCATAGTTGACTGTGGGTTAAACTGGGAGGCAGAGATTGGAGGATTAGGAATTCACGGGTAACCTCAGCTACATAGTGAGTTGAAAACCAGCCTGTGCTGTTTGAGACCCCTCCCCTAAAAAAAAAAAAAAAACATTAAATTGAACTTATATCAAAAAACAAAATATAGATAAAAGTTCAAAACTTTTGAAGCAATAGATACTTATTGAGGATAATTGATGGAAATGTAAATTTTCATTTTTCTTATATCTCTGTGCAGTTAAACTTGAATCTGAATCAAGTTTGCCCATAAATTGGAACTGTAGCTTTCCTTTTTACAGTATTGGAGATTGAATCTAGGGTTTCAAGTTTGTTAAGCAATCACTCTGTCTTAGCTACATCTCAAGCCCAGAACTACACCTGTTAATTAGTGAAACTTCGGGTAGATATTGAAAATTTCTTGGAAATATTTGAGAAATAAGCTGGGCAGTGATGCCATACACCTTAAATCCCAGCATTCAGGAGGCAAAGGCAGGCAGATCTCATGAGTTCCAAGATGGCCAGGGCTACACAAAGAAACCCTGTCTTAGGGGATAGGGGGGGCACACAGAGAAATTTGAGAAATAGTGCCCAACTAGAAGCACTAGTTATTGTTGTCTGTTCACTGTTACAAAAAGTCAGTGTTGTGAACCTGCTAAATCTTGGACATTATGCCTGAAGTTGAAGCTTGGCCCTCTTTCCCCGATAGCCATATGGCCTAGATAAATAACTGTTTACTCTGTGCCTCATTTTCCTCTGTATAACTCAGATAATCCTTTTTAGTTTGTTTTCTTTCTGAGGCAGGGTTTCTCTGTGACTTTGAAGCTGTCCTGTAACTCGATCAGTAGACCAGGTTGGCCTCCAACTCACAGAGATCTATCTCCCTGTCACTGGCTCTCAAGTGCTGGAATTAAATTTGTGCACCACTCCCGCCCAGCCCAGATAATCCTATTTCAAGTGTTCTTGGATATCTTAAATGAAACATGTGGCTGTGTTGTAATTTAAATAGAGCCTGACTGATACTATAGTACTATGTGAGTATCATTCCTTACTTATATCAGTCCTTGTACTCAAGATGGAAGTCCTACCCTAAAAGAATTCATCATTTAGTGAAGCTTTAAGACTCTTCATTTCTGTACTTTGAATCCCAGGTTTTTTCTGAATCTCCTGTTGTATTGTTTGTTTGTTTGTTTGTTTTGTTTTTCGAGACAGGGTTCTCTGTGTAGATTTGGAGTTTGTCCTGGAACTTGCCCTGTAGACCAGGCTGACCTGGAACTCGCAGAGATTTACCTGCCTCTGCCTCCCAAGTGCTGGGATAAGAGGTGTGTCCCACTATGGCCCAGCATGTCCTATTGTATTTTTACAGGGACAAATTCAAGGATTTACTCTTCAGTCTTTGATTTTACCTGGTATTCAAATAAATGGTTAGGAAGTTAACCTGCTGCCTTAATAAAAGTAAAAATATTTTGAAGTCATTTTAAATTTTACTTCTAGATGCTGTTTGGCACTCATGGGTGTAAGCAAGTTAGATATTCTATACCGGAGACTTCTTCTCACAAAACTTTTCATCAGAGGATGGGGAAGGCCAGAAGATCTCAAGAGGTAGTGTGTGTGTCTGTGTGTGTGTTTCATGAATGCTTAGCTGTTTGTTTATTTTGTGTGTATGAGTGCTTGCCTGCACATATGTGTGTGCATCATGCTTCAGAGGTCAGAAGAGGGCAATCAGATCCTGTGGAAATGGGAGTTGTGACTGATTGTAAGTCACCATGTGGATTCTGGGGACCAAACCTGAGTTATCTGCAAGAGCAACAAGTGCTCTTAATTAGTGACCCATCTCTCCAGTCTATGAATGGTTATATTGAATTTATTGTTTTAATATACAGCTAAACATTTATTTCAGTTATAAAATATTTGGGCTTCAAATCTAGATTGGCTTATTGAGGAAATTAAATATTGAACTTTTAAAAAATTTTTCCTTTTATCCTTTTAGTGATTTCACTACATTTTAACTTATAACATCATAACTTGGGTGCAAACTTTTTTTTTTTTCTTTTTTGAGTCAGTTATTGCTAAGCTGGTTGAAGTTGTGTTTGGTTTCCAGGCACTGATTTTCTTCAGTGTCTGGGAAACTGGAATATACTGAAGCTCATGGGAAAATCTAAGAAAAATTATTTTCAAGATTGGCCCCTTTCATTTTGAATCCTAAATGTGTTCATTACTTCTGAACATTTTAGGTTCTCATATTTTTTTAAAAAAATTTCCAGTTTCTAAAAGAGAGAAGATGTACCCTTTCCTATCAGTGATAAAGGTTAAATTGAACATGGCCTCTTAATTGAATTTGCTAATTTTAATCACTGTTCATCACTTGTAACATAGTAGGTGTAATGGTTAACATAAAGGGTGATTTTAAAAAACCTTTTTGTCTTTTAATAGACTCTTTGAATTCAGAAAGATGATTGGAAATCGAGAAAGGTGCCAGAATCTGGTTTCAAGTGACTATCCAGTACACATTGATAAGGTATGCAAGAACTAACAGTGCTGAAGTCCTGTAGCAGTCACTCTGAGACAGTGCCATGGAGTATTAGTGCATATTTAAAGAATGCTATCCTACCCCAACCACGTTTTTATAATGTTCCTCGTAAGTAATATGTGTAGCATTTGCCTGAATACATGGTATTTAGGCTGCATTTTTCTGAGTTTCATTTTGTATCCTTAGGCTCCTGAGGGTTCAATTTTCCAACATTAAAGAAGAATATTAAAGAAGACTAGTAAGTATTAAAAGAAAGTAATCTACCTGGAGAATCAGCACATCAGGCATTATTTGCAAAAGCAGCTATTAGGAAGTACTAGGAGCTACAATAGAATACATTGCTCAGAAAATGCTGGAAAGAAAATGCTCTGAACTTAGAGAGGGAGAAAATATTTTTGAAATTGTTTTGTTTCATAAGCAATCAGCTGCTTTTCTGTAAAATCTTAAGTATGTGTGATTGAGTACTTTATAGGAGAAGGGAAATAAAAGGGTGAGTTTCCCAATCCATCCCTGACCTTTGGCTGAAGTAAGTATACTTGCATCTTTTATATATTGGATATATTTAGATTTCCTTCATCAGAAGATTTCCCCCTGATAAAAACCAGAAACTGAGGTGTTCAGGTTTAGCCCGGTGGTGGTAGCACATGCCTTTAATCCTAGCACTTGGGAGACAGAGGCAGGCAGATCTCAGTGATTCCAGACTAGCCTGGTCTACAAAGTTTCAGGCGAGCCAAGGCTACACAGAGAAACCCTGTCTTGGAAAAAAAAAAAAAAAAATGCTAGGCTTTTAGCTAGGTTTGGTTGTTTTGGAGTGGCAGAGAGGGGAGGGTCTCTAGGAGTTCAAGGGTAGCTAAGGCTACACAGAGACCCTATTCCCCCACTGCACCCCCAAAAAAACTTTTAGGCTTTTTCAGGCTTAGAAGATGGCTTAGTGGGTACAATTCTCATTATACAAGCATGAGAACCTGATTAAGATCCCCAGTACCCACATGAAAGCCAGACATAGAAGTGGATTCCTTTAACACTAGCACTGGAGAACCAAAGACAGAGAAATCTTGGGGACTGCTGATCAGTTAGTCTAATAGAAACTACAAGCTCCAGGTCAGTGAGACACTTTGCTGCAAAAAATAGAGCAGCCTTGCAAAACTCCACGCTATTTAACAAAGTATCAACATCATTTTATATACTCACCAGCACTGTACAGGAATCCCAGTTTGATCAGATTCTCATTGTATTCCCCCCCATCTGAATATAAATATTTCTGGTCTTTTGACTTGTGTCTCCCTAATATGAATGATGTTGAAATTCTTATTATGTTAGGCCAATTGTTAGGTCTCTTCAAATCCTTTGTTGATTTTTTTTTAGAAAGTTTTATTCGTTTTTGTTTTTTTTTTTAAAGATTTATTTATTATGTATATAGTATTCTGCCTACATGTATGCCTGCATGCCTTAAGAGGGCACCAAATCTCATTATAGATGGTTGTGAGCCACCATGCAGTTGCTGGAAATTGAACTTACAAGTTGTGTGTGTGTGTGTGTGTGTGTGTGTGTGTGTGTGTGTGTTTGAAGATGCAGGAAGGTTTTGGATCCTGTATAGCTGGAATTATAGTGGTGGGCCACCTGGCATGGGTGCTGGGGTCTAAACTCTGGTCCTCTGCAAGAACAATAGGTACTCTTAACTGCTGAACTATCTTCAAGTCCCCTTTGCTCCTTTTAACAATTTGATTAAATCTGCTGAGTTGTGTCTTGCCCTGTGCTTTGTAACTTTGTATCTGTCTTAAGATGTTTTTATTCCTTTGCAGCCAACCTGACATCGCCTATTGAATTTTTTTACCCTTTTACATTAGTTGTGGATACTCTGTATTAGATAATTAGTGAGATATTAGTTTGTGATGCTTCTTTTATCAACTTAGTTTTCTAAAATATATGAGGAAATAGTTTTGGTTTTGAGACAGGCTCTCATTGTGTAGCTCTGGCTGGCCTAGAATTCACTATGTAGACCAGGCTTGCCTTAAGCTCACAGAAATCTGCCTACTAAAGGTGTACACCATCACACCTGGCCAGGGCATCTTAAGCTATAGTAAACAACATAAAAATCAAGTGCTTATTTGAATCCCTCCTACTCTTTAGAGTTCTTTTTCATTTGTTTCTTATTAAACCTATTTGAGACAGGGCTTCTCTGTATAGCCCTCATGGTCCTGGAACTCACTCTTCATACTAAGCTGACTTTGAATTCAGTCATCCACATGAGTGCATGCCCCAAAACACCCATCTTGTTTTTTTTTATGGTTTTTTTTTGTTTTTTGTTTTTTTTTTTTAATGGTAGGGACTAGGAATATAGTTCAATTGGTAAAGTGCCTGATGTGTGGAAGAAAACCCATTTACTAATGTTAATTCACAGTCACAATCCTGGATTTGAAGAATTGAAGCCACTAACATGGATGGATTTTTGTTTTTTGTTGTTGTTTTTTGTGTTGTTTATTGGATATATTTAGATTTCCTTCATCAGAAGATTTCCCCCTGATAAAAACCAGAAACTGAGGTGTTCAGGTTTAGC